ACAAGTTTCTCTCCTTTTCCCCCTAGTTAGCCAGGCTTCAGAGCTGTGCTCAACCGTCAGCTCCTCCAGAAAGCCTTTCTGGACAGCCAAACTAGAAGTTCCCTTATCATATACTCTCAGGACCCCTGGATTTTTCCTTCATAGCACCTGATTATTAAACACAGGCTCTTTGGTCAGTGGCCTCCTTTTGAGAGAGAACTCCAAGAAAAGGGAGGCCTTCCCATCCCTGAATCCTCAGCAACCAGCCAAGTGTATGGAGCTCTCTGTATCTGTGGGCTCCACAACCACGGATTCAACCAACTTCAGACTGGCAATACTCGCAAATACTACATCAGTAATGAACATGGACAAACTTTTCCCTGTCATCATTCCCCAAACAATGCAGTAAGGACATCTAGTGTCATGGCATTTAGAAATTATTCAAAGAGTACAGAGTAAGGGAGGTTGCCGCAGTCTGGCTGGGCACAAAATAACCGAGCCACCACACCGCCTTGTAGACTCAAACAGCAAGTCTTTATTCCCGACTCTCGCCGGCTCTCTACACGCACGTTCTGAGGAAAATACACATCTCCACCGGGCTCTGCATCCCAAATACTCTCTGAACCCCGCGAGAACTCCACGGGAACTCAAGGAGCGGGGCCCCTGAGGCAGCAGGATACGCCCTATTCCCAGCAGGATCCACCCTAAACCCAGATCCACCCTAAACCCGGATCCACCCTGGTCCTTGAGCAGGGTCACCTTTCTCAAACATTCTTGCAATGTCACTGCAAATGACCTGGGTCCAAGGCAAGCCCATTTCCACAATGGAGAGTCCTCCCTCTAAGCAACATTGGGTAGGCTGACAAGGAAATTGCCATGCGTCATTCCTACTTGGCTATGGCTCTCAGCAGGAGGTGACATGCAAACAGCATACCATTTTGTACAAGGAACTTGAGCAGCTGCATTAAATGGCATCGGCAGGGATCCTGCAACCAAACCCCTACAGTACCAAGGGATGATCCGGGATATGTAGAAAGACTCACCGTAGGGAATGAAGTTGCTTGAAGTGATGATGATGACAGTGGACTAAGTGTGGCATTTGAGCCAAAGTTAACTGAGGGTGCTGAGTTCTCACTCGAGGCAGGAAGGAAATGATGCTTAATCTCATTCCTAGTCTCACGCCAAAGGCCAAAGGGTAAGTGACTGCCCGGTACACACGTGGGCAAAACTGAAAACTGCAGAGTGGCCTAGAGGGAAAGAAATGGTTTCAGTGACCATAACAGTCTAAGGGGCGTGGGGGAGGGGGGACAGTCTAAGATACAAAAAAATTAAAAGATTTGGAAATTTTTTGTGACAGTAATTTTTTGGCAGGGGGCTCATAGAATCCCTTCACTTTCAGGTGAAAACTTTTACCCAGAAACAAAATTAAATATGTAGACATAATCTGTTACATTTTACGAAAGTCTGCCTCTGTAGATAACAACACTTAACTGTGGCCCACCACACATATTAAATCTAGAACTCACAAGGTATATCTTAGAGCTGATGAAATATTTAAACAATCACTGTGAAATTTTTCTTTCTGCTTTTATTATAAAAGCAATATAAGTTCATGGTAAGAAAAACCAAACAGAACAGGAGGGAAGAAACTGAAATCTAAATTTCTAATGCTGGTGCCAACCATTCAGTTCAACTCCCCAATGGCCACTGCTAGTGTTGAAATTTTGTATCATTCCAGAGTTTTCCATGCCGTCCATCCACATGAAGATCCAATTCGCTTTTCTGATGTTTTTAGACAAATGGGATTTTACTACACGTTGTTGGTTTACAACTGCTCTTTTCTATACATAACAGGCACTGGGTGTCTTTTCCACATTCAACTTTTAATAGCTGCATGACAGTTCACTTAATAGAGGTGCATGAAAAATTGACTAGTCTCCTATGACTGGAGATTTAGTAGAAATGTCCAAGAAGGAACAATGATTCACACAATGATGATTGCTGGGTTTCTGTTCTCGTGACTAAAAGGCTCAGGGGTCACTCTAATTAAACTGGGCTAACTGGACTGCACGATATAACCACACAAGAGTCACAAATACCTTTTTCTTTGGGGTCGCTGTGACGGCTCCTCTGACCTTAAGCGTCCACAGAAAGAGAGAGAGAGCGAGAGCACGCACTGACCCCTTTTATTGAGGGAAGCTATTCAAATGAGGCAAGGGGTCAGGTTTCAGGGGGCTGAGTCTATCTTCATGATGTCCACTGTCAGCGGGTTGACTGACACCTGGGTAGGCCACACCCAAGGGCACAGTAAGAGGAGGGGACACACACAAGGCACTTCCATGGAAGATTCTATTCTAAACAGGGCAAGGGGTTATATTACAAAGGAACAGGTGAGCATAGCTTCACCCGTGGGGCTGTAGCAAGACACACCCATTTCTGTGACTGAGCGCCTCAGCACCCAGCTGGGGAGTGTAACTCAGTCACCCGTAAGGTTGGCCTCCCACAGATGATGAATGAATAGCCTCCTGCACAAGCTCCCCACTAGAACACAAGCCCCATAGTGGCAGGGATTTTGCCTAGTTTGTTTACTCTCAGAAATTAGTACATACACTTGGGGTGCCCACTGAACACACCAAGTGCCCAATGAACATTCGCTGGGTATATGTATCTTCACATGTGCATCCATCTATATAGGAATTTAAAACTTATATAAATATTTTTTGACCAATCACACTCCAAAATGACTGCTTCACTGTATATTCCTATCAGTGGTTTTGTTGTTGTTGTTTTGCTCTGTTTTGACAGCTAGGGACTTTGCATTTAAAGTTCAGTGCAGTAGAAATAATGAAAGCTGTATATTCACTTCCAATTGCTTCACTATAACAAGATAACCGGTTACCTGAAACTGAGTGGCTTAACCAATACAAATTCATTAACTTCCAGTTCTAGAGGTAAGAAATCCAAAATGGGTCAGCGGGATGATCCTTCTGGAATCTCTCAGGGTGAATCCTTTTTTTTTTTTTTTTTGCCATTTTCAACTCCTAACAGCTGTATTTCTTGGCTAAGGGACTCTTCCACATCACCCCAACCTCGGTTTCCCCTGACACATCTCCTCTGGTGCTGACCCTTTTGCCCCTCTTTTTTCTTTAGAAGAACCCTTGTGATGACACTGGCCTCACCTGATAACCCGGGATAATCTCCCATCTCAAGGTCCTCAGCCTAACCATATTAGCAAAGCCCCTTTTGTCATGGACAATAACATACAGATTAGGATGGCGTCTTTCAGGAGCCATCTGCCTACCACAGCTGGGCAATCAGGCTAACACATCAGCATTATCAATTCCAAAACACATTCCCTAAACATGGGCTGAATTCCCATTACCCAATCCTGAACTAAATCTGAGAAACACACTAACGAGCTCCTCAGCCTTGCCCAAATTACATAACCTCCCTGGGCCTCCATTATTCTCACTTGTGGAACTGCAGAGATTAGCATCTGTTGCCCGGGAAATGATGCAGTTGTGTCTACAGCCATGTCTTTCCTCTTAAGCAGAGCTCAGGAATTACTATCTGATGTTTCCATCATGACAAAATGTAAACAAAAAAATAGAATATTAAGAAGGTAGAGAGACAGATCCTCTTGGAATCTGTCAGTGTGAATGTCAATGGGTGCAGATATTCTAGGGAGCAGTGTGTCCATGTGAATGTCATGAAAACCCTTACAGATATTGGTTCTCTTTGTTCCAGTGATTATCCATTCCCAGAAGTGTATTTTAAAGACATAGTTAAATTTCTACACAAAGATATGTAGTGAAAGATTATAATATGGGGGGAGGGCAGAAACAAACTTTTATTAAGTGTTCTCTAATAAAGGATTCGATTTTTAAAAAAGAAAAAGAAAGAAAGAAAAAAGTATGGTACACCCACATCACAGACACCTCAACAGTCCTATCAAAGGACTTTGTGAAAGCACATTAATATCATGTTTAAAAGTTTGCTAACATTAGTGACAAACTAAGGGTTTAGATTAGGATCATTTATTGTGTCACAGAGGTAAAAGAACTCTGTGTGAGTGTGTGTGTCTATGTGTGTGTGTGTGCACGTGCACAGAGTTTAGGGAGGGGGGAAGGACTAAAAACAGATTTATGAAGCAACAGTGGTTATTTCTGGGTAACTGGAATATCAAGTCATTTTTATTTTTGCTTAGTTGTATTTTCTATTTTCTAGCGATGAAAGTGGAGTCGTGGGGAGGGACAGGGGATTCCTGCACAGGACCAGCCCCCAGTTGGGTTACCAGGCCTCTCTGGGTGTGGACAAATGCGACACACGGGGTCCCTCTAGTGGAAGGCGGGACGCAGCTGCTGCGGAGACTCCAGGTTGCGACTTTTAAAACAGCTTATTGTATTCAAGGCCTTTAGAAGCAAAGTGGCTGGTATTCTGTTTAATTTAAAAAATAAATAAATAAAAATTAAGAGGGAGGAGATAAGTTTCAAAAATAAAGACTAACCCTCATCCTGAGGAAAAATCTAGGCGCACCTGAAACACTAACAATTCACTTTTTTTAACTGTCGATGTTTGGAGATTAAATACCTGAGACTTCCCTCTCTCCTGGGACTTTTGTAGCTTGCGTTCTAAGTCTAAAGTACCAAGAAGCATCAGGATGGAGCCTGAGGCCTGGAAGTGACGCCACTCCCGAGCACTAACACCTCAGAATCTTCGGTTCCACTCGGCTCCTCTCCGGCACGGTTTGACCAGGACTTGCCCTGGGGTTCGGCTTCCTTCGGCTACCTTCGGGCGACTCTAGTCTCGGCCTCGGTTCCTCTTCAGCTACCTTCGGCTTGCTCTCGAGTTGCATTCGGCTATCTTCGGCTACCTTCGTCCCGCACTCGTCCCAGCCTCGGCTTTCCTCGCCTCCTCCTCGGCTGCGTTCGGCCAGCGCTCGTCCTTGCGGGCTCGTCTCTCTTCGGCAGCGTTCGGCCAACGTTCGTCTCCGTTCGGCTCTTTCCGCCTTCGTTCGGCCGCGGCCCGGGAAGGGCGCCCATGGAGCCGGGATTGCCGGCTCGACGGATAGCCATGGCGCCGCTGTTGGAGTATGAGAGGCAGCTGGTATTGGAACTGCTCGACACTGACGGGCTGGTCGTGTGCGCCCGCGGGCTCGGCGCAGATCGGCTCCTCTACCATTTCCTCCGGCTGCACTGCCACCCGGCCTGCTTGGTGCTGGTGCTCAACACGCAGCCGGCCGAGGAGGTGCGGCGGCCAGTGAGGGGACCCCAGGGCGCCGAGGGCCCCTGAGCCCTTGCAGGCCCTGGCGCGGATGTAGGCTTGCGACAGGGATGGCGGGGCTCGGAGCAGAGGCAGGTCCGAGCACCGAGGGAGGGCGTTGAGTGGGATCCTTGTCACTGCGCGAGGACCCTACAAGAGGAGGTGCTCTGAGCGGAGCAGGGAAATGACAGGAGGAGGGTGGGGTGGGGGTGGGGGTGGGATGGAGGACCCTGCAAAGGAGGCTTCGAAGTCTGCAGCGGAATCTAAACCTGATAATGGGGGTGTCCCAAAGCTGGATATTAAGGGTGTTTCTGGGGGTGTCAGAGGGTGATGGAGAAGATGCTGAGGCTGGAAACCCCTGTAGTGACGAGGAAGGCCTGGAGAAATAGCACAGTCCCCAGGAGGAGGGCTAGGGGAAGAGGGCCATGATGTCAGAGGGGAGGGAGCTGGAAGCTGAGGATCCTGGGAAGGTTAACTGAGGTTAGAAGGGCTGACACTGAGGAAGATGGAAGGGGGACACAACTGTGCTGGGGACTGTTGATCCTGAACACAGCCTGGAGAGACAAGTCTGACCATCCCCTAGATAGAGCAGGTGGCCAGGGGAGAAATGTCAGCAGACTTTTTCTGGGTAAGGGACCCCGTTTGCTTCATCTAGGTATCCCCAGTGCTTGTAGACTAAACTGGAGGGGTAATGAGCCAAGGGACCTGTTGACATTCTAAAGTCCCTCTAGGATGGTTCATGATAGAACTAATATCCTAAAACACTATATGGAGAAAGGATTCCCTTGTTATCTTCTGGCTTGAGTGAAAAGCATTTCTAGGTAGCAGAAATCTTTTAATCCAGAGTTTAAAAGTTATTTTGTTGTGACTGTTAAAGTGCTAATAATGACTGAAGTACATTTATTCCATAGTGTGACCCCAAAAACAAAACAACAAAAAAAATTACCTGGTTAAGTGTAGATGGGTTGATTGGTCAGCATAAAGTAATAGCCTAGCTTGTGTATTCACTGTTAAGTTTATTATCTATGAAAAAGGCAGAAATTCATTTTAAATACTTGCAGTCTATTAAAAACTGCCCAGTAGCTGTGGTGCACATACTTTAGGATGTGGTGGTGCACTCCTGTAATCCGAAGGACTTGGGAGGTCAGTGCAGGAGGATGGCAAATTGGAGACCAGCCTCAGCAATTTAGGAAGGCCCTAAGCAATTTAGCAAGATCCTGTTTCAAACAGTTAAAAAAAAACTGGGGATGTAATTCAGTGGTAAAGCACCCAAGGGTTCAGTCCCCAGTACAAAAAAAAAAAAAAAAAACTTTGTTAAACAGCCTACTAATGAGTTTGATTTGATTTAGGAGTATTTTATCAGTCAGCTGAAGATAGAAGGAGTTGAACACCTCCCTTGCCGAGTGACAAATGAAATCGCAAGTAACAATCGCTATGAGGTTTACACAAGAGGCGGTGTCATATTTGCAACAAGTCGAATACTGGTGGTTGATTTCTTAACTGACAGAATACCTTCAGATTTAATAACTGGTAAGAATTTGAAATCTCATTATGTCTGCATCCATGTGTACTTTTTTATCTTTGTCTGTCTGCTCTGCCCAACTGTACACTAGATCCTTCTTGTGAGCAGCATAGTAGCTCTAGGTCCTTCTTAACTAACCTCACCACAAACAAATGAGCAATTGTTGTGTTATGACCTGACAGCAGCTCCAGGCACAGGACTTTTTCAGCTCCATCACAATCTTATGGAACTATCATTGTATACATTGTCCATCACTGATGGAAACATTATTAAGTGGTGCATGACTATATGTATAAAGCTTGACTTTGCCTTTTATGTTCAATAAATACTTGTAGTCAACTGGCTTTTGCTTTTACAACTTAACCAGATTTTGAAATGTTTGTAATTTTTTTTTTTTTTTTTTTTGGTACCAAGGACTGAACCCAGGGGCACTCAACCACTGAGCCACATCCCCAGCCCTATTTTGTATTTTATTTAGAGACAGGGTATCACTGAATTGCTTAGCACCCTGCTTTTGCTGAGGTTGGCTTTGAACTGGAGATCCTCCTGCTTCAGCCTCCCAAGCCTCTGGGATTACAGGCATGTGCCACCACCCCCAGTTTGTAAATAATCATTGAATAGTTCCATTAATGCTGTTTTTTCTTAAGAGTAATTATTTCTATGATATTAAATTAGGCCAATTATTTGCTTAATTAATTTTAGAACAGTGTTTTTATTTTGACCAGAATGTATAGAAAAGAATTTGTACATGTAGGAATTCATATCATATAGCTAATTTAGGGACTTTGCTTCTCAGTTTACCCTGTTCTTCTCTCCCATCATAGCACCAGAACACTACTTTACATCTTCCTGTTTATTAGTCTGCCATGCTTGGGAGATAAGCTTTTTAAGCACCAGGAAGACCTTGTTCATCCCAGGCATGTGACTGGTGCATGGCAGATACTAAACACAGTTGTTGGATGCATGATGGTCAGAAGGCAGTGATATTTAATAAACTTCAGGAAGGCAGAGAACTTGGACATTCATAAGCATTCTCCCTGCTATGTCTATCATACTGCCCTGAACCTAGAAGATCATCAAGAAATGTGTAATGAATAACTGTATGATTTATATGGTTCAGAGTGAACTGGTTAAGGAAAAGTTTTGTACTCTTTTATAACATTTACAGTGGTTATAAACAGTGGCATGGGCCTTGCAGCCAGACTCACCTGACTTTGAATACTAACATGTTGCTTACAAACAAGTTCCTTAATTGTTAGAACCTTAGTTTTCTCATTTCTTTTTTTTTTTTTGCTTGTTTGTTTGGTTTTATTTATTTGTTTATTTATTTATTTACTTATTTATTTGTACCAGAGATGAACCCAGGGTCACTTAATCACTGTGCCACATCCCCAGCCCCTTTTATGTCTTATTTTGAGACAGGATCTTGCTAAGTTGCTAAGGGCCTTGCTAAGTCTCTGAGGCTGGCTTTTGAACTTTCAATCCTCCTGCCCAAATCAAGAAAATAGTGCCTCTTAGAATTATAAGGATTAAATGAGATAAAATAAAATGCTCAGCATAGTGCCCGGTACATAGTAAACTCTTAATAAATGATAGCCTAAAAATGGCTTTTTTGAGCCAGAAATCTTTCTGTGTCATGAAGTTTCTTACTGTTGGCTACTTTATCCTAAGCCTGGTTCTATTTATTGATTTATTTATTTTAATTGACAGAATGAAAAACACATAGAAACTGCCACTAGATGTCAGTATTATTCTGTCTGTTCCGCCTCAGCTAGTTAGGCAGAAAGCTGTTGGAATCCATGCCACCCTCAGGTCCAGCTTGTAGGTGGTTCCTCATTAAAAGTGCCAGATTCCCTCCCCTTTCTCATCAAGTCTCAACCAGTAATGAAAGTGGGACTGCCCTTGCTTGGCTGAGTGGAATGCAAATTAATGCCAGAAATGAATTCTTTCCAGTTCCTCTTCCCTTGGGATTCTCCCCCAGGATCCCTGTAAGAATCTCATCAAAACTTCTACAGACTCAAGGGCATTCCCTGGAGCGTGTGACCCCCTAAAAAGTACTGACTCCCCCCCCCCACCGCCAGCTCCAACCCGTTTCTCTGCTCCCACCTATTATCACAGCCATTCTTTCCTAGATCTCCCTGACAACTAGAATTCCTAAATAGAGAGAGAACTTTACAATTATCTACCCAGATGGTACTTTCCAAAGAATGTGAGACAGGACAATGCATCGTTTATTGCTAAAACTGATCCTGCTATCTCCAGAGAGAATTCAGAACATCCTTCCCAGAATTTTTTTTTTTTTAAGAAAGTTCCATGTTAAAGTTTTTTTTGTAAACCCAGTGCTGGAATTCAGTTTTATATTCATTCAACAAACATTTCACTTATTAAGGATTCCTGTGTTTTGCAGAAAGGTGCTAAAGCTATGAAGGTGAGCAAGCAGTATGGTGAACTTAAGTTCAAATATGGAGGTCTGTGAGCTCACCTTCACTGTGCACCAGCTCTGTGTCCCTAGGCAGGTTCCTTAATTTCTCTGTGCCTTGGTCTTTTTTACCTGTAAATCAGGAATGCAGTAGTGCCTCCCATTGAGGCATAGCGTGCCTGAGATGCAAAATGGGTTCTCCTTCCTTCTGGGTTCTGGAAGAATGACAACCCTTCTGCACACCATATTTTCTAAAATTGAGGTTCACTTTTTCTTCAGTAGTACATTTTTGTTATCTTTAACTTTATATAATATTTCAACCCAAGCTAACTAGACTGTGGCCCATTCATAGAATCCTTGGGAAAGACCCATCTACTACATATTCTAAAACAGAGGTTTACCTTTCCTTTAGAAGTCCATTTTTATTATTATTAACTTTATGTAATATTTTAACCAGGCAAATAAAAAGTTCTTTATACATAGAGAGAGTTCTTGGAAAAACCAGCCTACTCAGTACAGAATATTTTCTGGGTAGTAAAGTAGTATGTATATGTATTGGAGGTTATTAGAAAATTTTTATGTATAGATTTCTAAGTTAATTTTTATCACATTGAAAACATAATTTGATTAGAGTAAATTTTAGTTCCGTCCACATAGATCTAATAGGGGTTGAATCCAGTGGCACTTAACCATTGAGCAACATCCCCAGCCCTTTTAATTTTTTTGCTTTGAGACAGGGTCTTGCTGAGGCTGACTTTGAATTTGCAATCCTCCTGCCTTAGCCTCCCGAGCCACTGGGATTACAGGTGCGCCCTGCTAGATCCAATATTTAAATGACAAAATAGCAGACTAAGATTTGAGTTTATTGAACTATGACAAGGGCTCCTAACTCATTGGTATCATTTTTCAAACCCTGTGAGTGATAAAACTGGTACTGAAAATACACATGTATATGTATGGCAAATGTATGTACATGTGTGTGCGTGTGTAGCACATGTGTATAGACACAAATGCGCTTACATAGGGCTTTATTTATATCTCTCCAGCTGTCTGTGTATATGTGGTTACCAGCTTGATTTAGGCCTGATATTCTGAGAATCATCGTAGAGTAACTGAGTTTTTGATCCAGAAAATGACATTCTGTTTACCCTCATATCATCTTGTGTCTCTCCCGGTCATCACTAATCACATTGCATGAAAAATGGCATGTGTATAAGAAAGAACTTCTGGCCCAACAGTCTCATTTTATAAATGAGAAAACGTGTATCAAGTATATTCATTAAAGGTTCTTATTCTAAATAGACGAGTTTAAATAGACTCAAACTGAAGATACTCTGATTCTGAAAATTGATTCAATCTCATAGGCGATGCAGGCGTTGCCTGAACTTCCAAACTTAAACTATTTTGTCCCCATTGGATTTGTATACAAAAAGAATTCACTGCCCACTTGCTTCCTTCAGCAGGCCAGCAACCCTATTCCAGGGCCTTGAGGCTTATTGTTCCCTTAGCTGGGACCATTCTTGGCCCAGATGACTCTGGAGGTGCTCTTCCTGGTCTCCATCCCACATCTATTAAAGCATCACTTTGGTGAAGTCACCCTGTCTAAAAATCCCAAACCACCCCCGCCAGGCCTCATTCTCCCTCTCTTCTCATTCATTCTTTCTCCTTACCACTTGAAATGTGCTAACTATTTTTATTTACTTATATTGTGTACCCCACGTTCCTCAGGGGCGGGGGCGCACATCTCTTTTGCTTGTGGCTGTATCCCCAGCCCAGAAGAGGGCCTGCCCGTTCTCAAGTAGGCATTCCAGAAAAGGTGGAAGGAATGTGTGGATGAGCAGACGTGTGTGTGTGTGTGTGTGTGTGTGTGTGTGTGTGAAAACTGCACGTCTGTTCTGTAGCTTAAACTGTCCCTCCCTCCTCAGGCATCTTGGTGTACAGAGCCCACAGGATAATCGAGTCTTGCCAGGAAGCATTCATCCTGCGTCTCTTTCGCCAAAAAAACAAACGTGGGTTCATCAAAGCTTTCACAGACAACGCCGTGGCCTTTGATACTGGTTTCTGTCACGTGGAAAGAGTGATGAGAAATCTTTTTGTGAAGAAGCTCCACCTATGGCCAAGGTAAATCACGTGTAATACATTTTTGTAACAGGGTCTGCTGTAATGTAATTGCACCTTAAAAATAGAACATAAATATAATACGATGTCAAAGTGGCGAGTTGTACTAGATAGATAGATGCCCTATCATGTTCCTAACAAACGCATCCAGGTATAAGTATATGTGGTCACCCCATTTGTGAATCTTTGGAAAGTAGAAAGGGATTTGAGAGTTCTTTTTCTGGTAGTTACTCAGATCCACTCAAGGACAGCTACTTTACTCCTTCTCAAACATTTAGTGAAGCCCCCAGCAGTTAGAGGCCCACAGACACAACACCTTTTACTGAACTGCAGATTTTATTGGCCAGTTCTGCCACTTCAGGTTTGAGGATTACTCACTGGGGAACTGATGCAGAAAGATTTTGAAGAATTTATGTAAATTTCCAGGGAAAACAAAGTTTCAATTTTCAAACATTTTTGCAACCTTTGCTAGCAAGTATTTTGTTTATACAGTATGTTAAGAGTAGTGTTGGGGCTGGGGACATAGCTCAGTTGGTTGAGTGCTTACTTTGCATGCACTAAGACCCTGGGTTCGATCCCCAGCGCCACAAAAAAAAAAAAAAAAGAATAGTAGTTGGAATACTTTTCCTTTTTTGATTGTACCTTATTTCAGAGGTCAGCAAACTTTTCCTATAAATGACCAGAGAGTAGATATCTTGGGTTTTTCAGGCTATATGGCCTGTCACAATAACTCAACTCTGTTATTGAAAACACAAAAGTAGCCAAAGACAATGGGAAACAGTGGGTGGACTGTGTTTCATAAGCCTAATGAAAACAGGCCTTGGACTTGGCCCAGACCAGAGTCCGCTGACCCTGCCGTATTTGATTTACTTCTATTGATGGAGGTCCAAAGTCGTCTTAAAAACATTACCATTTTGCTTTCCATTTTGTTCATTCCATAATTGCATTTGCAAAAACTATCACAGTATTAAAAACTGGAATCAGGAAAACATAGCTCTGTTGAAACTCCAGAAACTATTTGTCTCTTCAGGTTCCATGTGTCCGTCCACTCATTCTTAGAGCAGCACAAGCCTGAGGTGGTGGAGATCCATGTTTCCATGACACCTGCCATGCTCGCCATCCAGACGGCCATCCTGGACATCTTAAATGCATGTCTCAAGGAGCTGAAGAGCCACAACCCAACTCTTGAAGTGGAAGATTTATCTTTAGAAAACGCTATTGGGAAACCTTTCGACAAGGTGCTCTTTTTTTCTTTTCTACTTTAAGTATGATTTGTTGTCATTTTAAAGAATGCAAGTTCTTTTAATATTTGCAGTGTTCTTAATAGAAATTTGCTGTTATCTTAGAATTCAGTTGGAAGTGATTTAAGGTATACCTGCTTTGGTTTATCGCAAAGTCTTTGTAGTAAAATAGGGCGGCTCAGCATGTGAGCATAACTCAATTTTGCAGCTCTTTTGTAAGTAGTCATCTCTTATTTTAACTATAGTCAAGAGGAGTATAAATAACTTTGCTCTGAAATGGCAACATTTGGATATCTACAGGTAGAAGAGTTTTACATAAGAATGCTTTGTAATTATGCATGAATTTATCATCTCTTTTTTGGAATAAAAAAATAACTTGGATGATAAATGTGAAACTCGCTGTGTCTTAAAATTACATTCCAAATTGAGAAAATGGTATGACATTAGTTCGGGGAGTTTTTTTTCCACCATATGTTAATTTTAATACTGGTATATAAATGTCTAATACTATAATGAATTATAGATCTAGAAAATGCTGGCTTTTAAAATTTCCGAGCAACTTTTTGTTATACTTTGGTAGAAGATGTTAATGTCTTTTTTAAGCTCTGAATCAATTTCTTTGTTACTGGTGATTATCAAAAAGAACAAGTTTAACTTCTCATTTCTCTGATTATTTCAGAGAATCACTTTTATTGTGAAATATTAACACATAAAACTAATTTCATGTATTCTGTTTCTCCATCCTAAAGTGTGTTATAATTTAATGAGTGCTGATAATTTGTATATATGATATAAATGGCATATATCATATATATTATATATACACATATATACTATATATGACACTAAACACTAGAAAAATAAAAATAGCCTATATATTTTACACTGGATATCTGTTTATCATCCACTGGCTAATAAAAGTCAAAGCATTGTTTTAGATGTTCTTTTAGTAGTCACATTTAAACATAGACATAGCTTGTATCTTGTTTAAGAAAAAAATTAACCTTTTGTAGATCTTTTTACAAAAGAGGCATGTCATTAGTTTTATGTCCCAACTTGTCTAGGACAGTCTTGGCATCTTCCTTTGGTCCTGGAGTAATTATTAATAGTAACTCATTTCATTTTTATTAGAGTCCTGGTTCGGTCAGTAGATTACATGGTCATCCAAATAACTATCTGCTCAGTATTCAATTTGTTAGATGAGATGCTGTGCAATGACACTGCTTCTGTTCATTAAAACAGATACTGATTTTCTGATGTTTATTAGGCTTTTTCCCTCCTTGACAATAATATAGATATACATAATAATAGGTTGACCACTATCTGATCATAAAGATTGTAGCAATAAGATACTCGACTTTGTATTTGAAAAATTAGATTTATTATTAGAATTTTATGAACTGAAATATTCTAGTCACTTCCTTGGGGAATAATGTTTTGGGTTCCTAATTGTAGTAAAGTATATATCACATGAAAATTTACTGTTTTAACCATTTTTAGGGAACAAGGAGCAATCCTCATTGAAGGTACAGTTTGTGTTTAGAAAGCTGTATTGAATATATTTAGCAATATTCAGTTTTATTCTTGTTTTAGACAATCCGCCATTATCTGGACCCCTTGTGGCACCAGCTTGGAGCCAAGACCAAATCCTTGGTTCAGGATTTAAAGATACTGAGAACTTTGCTACAGTATCTCTCTCAGTACGACTGTGTCACATTTCTTAACCTTCTGGAATCTCTGAGAGCAACGGAGAAGGCTTTTGGTCAGAATTCAGGTGTGATATAACACTATTAATATTATTCTAGGAGTTGATTTGAATGAAGGGTTAGATTTGGGGGGCCCAGATATGGGACATGCTATATTCCACTACATGTTATATACTAAGATCTCAAATTACATTTTATGTTCACTGCACAAGGATGTAGGTTTTATTGATAGCTAATGTTTCCGCCTACATAACTTCTGTTCTGTGTAATAATAAATATTCATATCCATTCCAGGCAATTTTATTTCTAGAAAAGACCGCGTATAGAACAGGCAGTCTCCAACTTAGAAATAGGTTGTGTTCTGGAAGTTTAGTTGTTAGGCATTTAAAATTCATTTTCCCCAAAAAGACAGCAAGGGGTGGATTTCATCAGCTAGTATTGAGGACCGAAAAGAAGAGATTTGCAGGAAATAACACATATACACAACTGGCTGCCATCTTATTTTCCTGCCAGCTACACCCTTCCCCCATTACCAGGACCCTCGGCACAAAGGGTCAAGATTTAATACAATTAATAATTTGTACTCCTTCAGAATCATTCTTAAGTCATAACTTTTAAACGTTAAGTCAGTAAAGAATGCATTTACTGCTAGTACACTTTCCTTCCGCTGCCTTGGTTTACACAAATGCATCAATAGTGTGATCCACCACAGGACTTTTGTACCTTTATTGGAAATATCAACACAGTGATAAAAAAAGCCAAATAATGTCTTTGTATTATTTTGAGAAGAGTTTGGGCATTACAGACTGCCTGAAAACATCTTGGGAACACCCAGGAGTCCATGGACCATACTTCAAAAATCACTAGTCTAGCCAAACAGTGGTAGAGGCTATAACCGTGAGGGAAGTCCTGGTAGGTAGGAAAAGAAGATGGCGGCCAACTGGGTATGGTCATGTGACCGTCAAGAGACTATTTTAAATTAACCATGAATTGAAGCCTTTTTTTTTTTTAACTTTTCGCACTAGGTTGGCTGTTTCTTGACTCCAGCACCTCAATGTTCGTAAATGCTCGAGCAAGGGTTTATCATGTTCCAGATGCCAAAATGAGTAAAAAAGGCAAAATGCCTGAAAAAACGGAAATGAAAGAAGGGCAAGGTACTTAAGTCATTAAGTGCGTCTTTTATTTAAGTATTTGGCGTGGAAACACCAAGTTAAAAATGTAAATTACATTCTTCAGCAACATGTTAAATATATATGTGCATGTTATTTGTTCATAAATTGAAGGTATTGAGCATGACAAATCTCAGATTGCCAAAGGATTCCAAATAACCATGATCCAATACCAATCAAGAGTATTCTTACTGCTATGTAAAAACTATAAATTGATTTTTTTTAATAAAACTCCAAAGTAACTACTATCTTGGCACTTAAAGTCTTGTGTAACTTTTTTTTTTTTTGGTAGTGGGGATTGAACCCAGGGATGCCTTACCTCTGAAATACATCCCATCCCTTTTTACTTTTTATTTTGAGACAGGGTCTTGCTGAATTGCTGAGGCTGCTCTGAAACTTTCAATCCTCTTGCCTCAGCCTCCCCAGTTACTGGGATTACAGGTGTGCCCCACCATGCCTGCCCCCCTTTTAACTTTTAAAGAATGTAAATAGACTAGAAGGAGGAACGTGCGGATTTGATTCCAACATCTAAATATAGTATCAAATATCACTAGTTTTCTTAAAGGGATGGGATAGAATTAATACTTACTTTCTGTCTAGTTTAAAGGTCTGTCTCAAGACTTAATCAATACATATTAATGCTGTGTTTGAGTATTTGTAGAAATAAATGTTTGATCGTTGTCTTCTTTTCTCCATGTTCAAGATTATAAAAATTGGGGGGATTTTGGAAATAATACTATCACTCTATACCAGTTCCCCGTACAAAGCATCACAGTAGACAGCTAACAGAACCATCTCCTTTTAGCACCATGCATGTAACTTTCTGTTAAGGCTTCCTACCACCTGTGTTCGTGCCGGTTTGAAGTATCTGTCATTTAGACCTTAAGTAGGCCTTTTTTAGGAAAGCAGGTTCTATCTAGCATCATTCCATCAATTGATAACTGGAAGGGTGCTGGTGTAAGCTTATGAGATGGTGCTGGTGAACTAAAAGCCTTCGGATAATATCACATAGAATGAGGTTATCTTTTATGTTTATGCAGAATCAAAAAAGGAACTGGTCCTAGAAAGCAACCCCAAGTGGGAGGCACTGACTGAAGTACTGAAAGAAATTGAGGCCGAAAATAAGGAGAGCGAAGCCCTTGGTGGCCCAGGTAGGAATAAAGGACATGATGACATTGCTTTCAGAGGCTTTCAAATGAGCCTTAATTTGACAAGCTCTTTTAACTATTTTGTTTATAAACTGTAGCTGAATAAATGCCAGTAGAATGCAGATCCTACAGCAGTCTCCATTCTATTCCTTTGATGTGATTTTTCTCCAGGTTAAATCATTGTACATTCATGAAGCAGATTTTTCACTGATTGGGTTATCAGGACTTCTATTTAAAGACTCAGCTAATCTCTGCATATGTATTCACCAGGCCTTCAATCTGGAATCCCTAAGGAATAAGCCAATGTGTTTGTGTTATAACTCAGCAAAATAGGCTTAACTCCTGTGCAGTGACATTGGGCTAACCCTAGAAAAAAATACAAATTTTAGGCCTGCTATCTTCAAACATGGGTATTCTAGTAGATTGGCACAATAGACCAAACGTGAATTATAAATTTAAAAATAAGACGAGATCAAAAAGAAAAGTATCTATTGAGTCTCTGAACTCCTACAAAGCAACCAAGGAGCACCCAATCCTTGTGTTAGTAAATACACTGATAATAATATCCCAGAACTTACATGCTATGATTTATGACTCAGGGTCATAGGTGCTCACTGCAGAAAAGTGAAAAAGATAAATGGAGAAGGAGAAATTGCCTCTAGCAACTGATGTTAACATTGGTGTGTTTCCAGGTTTTCTTTTAAGAGTTTTCTATTTCACACTGTTAAAGTCATAGCATAGTTAACAATTTTTGGATATAGAATTAATGGGTCAAATGGAATTAACATTTTTAAAGTTCTTTAGACTTATTATCACACCAATTTCTATCAAGTTCTCATTTCTTTTAGCAACATAAGAGCTTATCTCTTTTTTAACCTAGCTGTTTGTTATGAGTACTCACGTATCTGTACATAGTTTATATACATCTAACAGTTTTATTAAAATTAATAAAATTTAAGAAAATGTTGAAGAAGATGTTTTAAATTTTGATATCTGATAAGCTCCATAGTTTCTGAAATGCATTTTTTTCTTCTGTGAATCGTATTCATTTCCTTGGCCAATTTAGACTATGTCCACAGTTTGTATTAGCTCTTTATACAGTAAAGATTACTAACGTTTGTCATAGTTATTAAAAGTTTTGTGACTTCACCTTTCTTAAATACAACTTTCTATATTATAAAGTAAAGACAGTGGTCTCTGGGGGGAGGTTGTTGTTTTGCAGTGCCTGCCAGGCTAGGCAACTCCTCTGCCACTCCTTTACCACAGAGCTACACCCAACCTCTTACACTGCTTTTAAATCTAGATCATCATCTCCATCAAGAGATGGATAGTCACTTATTTTTTATTTTTATTTATTTTTTTATTTTTTTAGTCATAGTTGGACACAATGTCTTTATTTTATTTATTTACTTTTATGTGGGGCTGAGGATCCAACCCATCGCCTCCCACGTGCTAGGCCAGAGCTCTACTGCTAAGCCACAACCCCAGCCCACTTCTTTTTCTTCTTGAGTTAATTTTTAACATTTGACTTTATAATCCATTTGGAATTTATTTGGGCATAAAAGATCCTCTGCAAAGTTATTAATTAAAATGAGCTTCCTTAAGGCCACTGTTCTGCTGCGGCTGTACTTTCCATGAGACTCTAAATAGCTCTGGCTTCAACTTGACGCAAAAGATTTAAGAAACCCTGCCAAAGAGGGAAGGGAAGGCACACAATGAGCACCCAAGACCCTTTTGAGACGATTTGTAACTTGTGGCTCCTTTAGAGGAGGCTGAGATGCCTTGGCTTTGGAGGAAGCAGTGGGGGACGTGGGAAGGGACCGGCGCAATTACCAGGTAATGCTCTTCCTTGCTTCTAGGTCAGGTGCTCATCTGTGCCAGCGATGAGCGCACGTGCGCCCAGCTGCGGGACTACCTCACTGCGGGCGCCGAGGCCTTCTTGCTGAGGCTGTACAGGAAGACCTTTGAGAAGGACAGCAAAGCTGAGGAGGTGTGGATGCGATTCAGAAAGGAGGACGGTTCCAAGAGAGCCATGAAATCCAACAAAAGACCCAAAGAGCCCCAGAACAAAGATCGGGCCTCTGCCAGAGACAGGAGTCTCAAGAAGAAGAAGCGAAAGTTGACGCTGACTCAGATGATCGGGAAGTCAGAGGAACTGGAAGAGGCCGCGGACGTGGAGGAAGGTTACCGCAGAGAAGCGGGCAGCAGCCCCGAGAGTGGCGAGGAGGAGGTGAAGCACGAAGCCTTCGATGTCAATCTGTCCTCGGATGCCGCCTACGGGATCCTCAAGGAGCCGCTCACCATCATCCACCCACTGCTGGGCTGCAGTGACCCGTATGCGCTGACCAGGGTGCTGCACGAAGTGGAGCCGCGGTACGTGGTGCTCTACGACGCAGAGCTCACCTTTGTCCGGCAGCTGGAAATCTACAGGGCAAGCAGGCCCGGGAAACCTCTGAGGCAAGTCACAAAGAACATTGGCGGTTTGCTTACCTCCCACATTCCACTGTGACCACGCAGGTTGGGCTTATGGAACCTTATTTTGCTTTTTGATGAATCTGAGCAGCATGGGACGAATGTCAGATGCAGTAGCTGAGCATCAGACCTAAGGGACTACCCCTGTTCTTGTTGCACTGCGCAGTGTTCTTTCTGTGATAGTTTCCAACTTATGGGGTGCAGTATCTGAAAAAGATTAGGGAATGTTTTAGCATTCTAAGTTCTACCAGAAGTTATAACTATGACTTGGCTGAATCATTTTAATCTTATAAAATGTCTTTCTTATAAATTTTAAAAAGTGACTCTAAATTACATCCACATAAAATGAAAGCATTTGGGGGTGGGGGGATTACTATACCCAGTTTTCTTGAGTTTCAAGAAGGATCAAATGAAAAATCTACAGAAATACCACATGAGAAAACGATGCCTCCCAAGGAATATAGTGTTCTAGCTCTCCACTTATCTGAGGGGAAATAAACAGCAAAATTAATATCCTGAACTCAGCCTGAACCAAAAGCAGAGCCAAAAGAAACCTTTCTCGCAGTCTAACTAATGCAGCCTTTCAGAGTGGAGATGAATGGAGGAGCTGGATCAGAAATAATGCAGAGATAAAGAGATTAGATGAAGCTGGTAAAATCACTACAGGCTGGTAAATTTTTCATACTTTACTATCGATCAACTTTGTAGCTAGTTTGTGTGTAGAAGTTTCTTTCTTGTCTGAGCACAGAACAGCATATTATTTGGAGCAGAAGAGACCCCAGGGTACAGCTACCAGCTCTGTCAGTGGGAAACTAAGGCCCAGAAGTGGCCAGGGACTTGGCCTCAGCCACAGGATGCATCCACAGGAGAGCCGAGGCCCCTTAACTCTTTGTCCACTGATTTCCCTGTCTGTTCCTCAGAGAAACATAATCCAGGAAGATGAAGGCTAAAAGAAAAACCAAGGCTGAAAAGGGAGAGTACCTCTGATAAAGAAAACCCTGAGGAGCAGAGGTGCTTAATTCAGTTTTTAGCTGCAAACAAGATATATTAAAAGCAGGCCTTTTTAAGAGAAAATATATCAGATTATTTTTTCAGATGCCTAATAGAATCCATATATCCTTTCCATCCATGTACTTATATAAAATGTGTGACGGCTCTGTTCTGTTAATATGTGAATAAAAGAGAACCAAGAAAGTATTGTGAAGGTAAAGGTCATATAGATTCATCTGTTTATTTTTCACCAACATGACCTTTTATAAGCCGGTTTTTATAACTCTTCTCCAGCTTAAGTTTGGCAGAGATGCAGAGAAAAAATTAAAAAAAGAGAAGCCTCTAAAATTCTGTTTTATGTTTATGAGGAAAGAATTATTCTATCCCTCCAGATAGATTTCAGTATTATCCTTCACTCTGTTCCCCCATTTGATGAAAGAATTTAAAAAAAAAAACTCTTTGGGTAATGAGACCTTTGACAGGTGGGGTTTAGGCAGCTGAATTTGACTAAGTACGTAATGAATGGTAACTTTGATTCTTAGTCAAACATTTATTATTTGAGCAGTCTGGGTTGCTGGTTTCAGATGCTCTGCTGCTCCTTTCATGGATTAAAAAGTGTGTTCCTGCAGCCTAAAGGAGTTCTGTCTTGACTTGCAGGGTTTACTTTCTCATATATGGAGGTTCGACAGAAGAGCAACGCTATCTCACCGCTTTGAGGAAAGAAAAGGAAGCTTTTGAAAAACTCATAAGGTACTCCCTCAATGATCAGCATGGATGTCGAGAGAACACCGAAGGCCTTTTACAGACCAGAGGCCTCTCGGGTGGGGGAAGATGCACCAGCCCTGGGTAAAAGGGGAGGGGGAGGATGGGGAGTGGGGTCCAGCCAGGGTGTCCCCAGACTGTGCCTCTTGCATACTTGCCTTTTCTTCCTCCCCTTCTCTCCCACCATCTCCACTGCTTTTCAGCAGTTTAGTTAATAGAGCACCAGTTGTATTCCCTGTGTGGAATGCTTCAGACTAGAAGCTTTGTTTCGTTTTTCTTTTTTTTTAGATTTTGGAATATTGGCACATACATAATGAGATACGTTAAGATAGGATCCAAGTCTAAATATAAGGTTCATTTATGTTTCAAATGCACCTTGTACACGTGGCCTGAAGGTCATTTGAGACAGCTTTTGTAGCACACCTGCTTTTCGACTGCACCCCAGGACAGAAGTCAGCTGGGGGATGTTTCATTTGTACTATCATGTCAGCACTTAGACAGTTTTGGAACATTGTGGATTTCAGATTTTCAGATTAGGGATGCTGGACCTATATTGGGAGAATGTTAAAGAAAACTTCTGCTTCTAAAAAACTATAATAGGAAACATCCAAAATCTTACTAAAACATTGCTTCTTTAAGCAATGTCTTCTTCTTAAATTTCCCTCCTCCCCACCTTATGCACGAGATTCCTCCTTTTCCATTGAATTGTGATTTTTTTTTCCCCTCCTTGTAAAATCTCCATTGTCCGTAGGTGGGTGGCTACTTTACCATTTACTGGGAAATACTTTTATGACCCATCCAGTTCTGATCCCCATCAGTAGAAACATTCCAGGGAGAAAAAAAATTTAAGATGTTGTTTATCTGAACATATGTGTATGCTTTTAATAATGGAGATCTGTAGCATTCCAAATCCCAGTAAAAAAATGTTTTTCAGCTTAACATAAGGAAAATGTTTATGAGATATTTACAAACTGGTTGGCTACCTCTTGCCCCTGAAAGCTTTCTAGAAATCTGATGATCCTCCACCAGGGATCTTGTCACTGCTCTTGTCATTGGAAATTGCAGTTAGGTATGGGAAGATGATCTCTAAGGGGCCTCAGAAGCCAGGGCCAAGGCTGGATCAGGCATCACTGAGCTAAGCCACAGAGAGGCTAGACCTTCAGAGACCACAGCCTGCATGAGTGTGGCAGGTCCACACCAGGCTTCCACCCCTCAGACACTGGCGAGGTACCAGTGGCAACAAGAGGGCAAAAATTATTTTTTAGTGGCAGTCAGCCTGCCAGGGCACTAGACAGGATTTCAAAAATGGACAGCCATCCTGCCGCACTGCCTCTATGTTCTGGGTGGGAACAGTCTATGCCTTCTTGGAGTTTATCCTCCCGTGCAAAAGACCTAGACTCTAAATGACCATAAAGAGCATAATAAATAGGGTTGAGAGCACTGCCAACAGCAAAGGTAAAAGAAAAGATTTAGCAGGAGAGCGGATGGAGGGATCGACCTAGGCCAGAAGCCGGTCGGGAGCAGCTGCAGGAGGCAGGGGTGTTCAAGCTGGTTCTGGAAAAAGCTGTGGGATTTGCCAGACAGATGGGGTGGAAAGCTGGTCACGCTGAACAAAGGGCTCAGGAGTGCGAGAGGCCCACTGAGGGTTTGGGACTTCAGGGCCCAGGACAGCATTGCAGCACTCTGAGTGGGAATGTGACTTAGGTGAATTTGTAAAGGTTTTCTGTGACATGAAACTGAAAAATGAATCAGCATGGAAGCTAGTCAGAGGCTGATGGGATTGCCGGGTGAAAGAAGGTAGCCTCCATCACTGGGTTAATGGAGAGGACGGGACAGATTTAAGAGATGTTTAAGGAGCTAGAATCAAAGGATTGGTGATGTGGGCCAGTACCTCCTACCCATTCTTTCACTCTTTCTTAAAAAACATCCTTTCCCTATATTGTCTCTAATTAAAGTAATTGTCACCAAATCACAAATGAACACCGAGAGCTAAAATATTCAGATTAGGGTATTAGTGTTCCCCTCAGGGGTCCCCAAGGCCACTCTGAGACTCACTGGTTCTCTAGAAGGATTCACGTGACTCAGAAAGACTGTTGTGTTCATAGTTGGGTTTATTACAGCAAAAGGATACAGATTAAATCAGCAAGGGAAAAGACAGGCAGGTGACATCCAGGGAAACCAGGATTATGCTTCCAGGTGTCCTGCCCTAGAGTCACAGCGATGTGCTTAACTCTCCCGGCAGCCATGTGCGAATGCACAGGCAAGGATTGGCCGCAGGGAAACTCATGGAGCCTTAGCCTCCAGGGTTTTCACGGGGGCCCAGCCACGCAGACCCCAAACCTCAGAGCAAAACCTGGCATTCACCATGAGCCACATTTTTAGCATAACTATCTAATCAAACGGGGACCAGGGGACATGGGCCCAAGGCCTCAGGCATTCAAAGCCCTCTTACCAGGAAGAATATTCCAGGGGTCATCACTCATGAGCCAAAGGCCATTCCCAAGGAGACAGGCCTGTCCGAGAAGTGGGCAGTTTGAACATCTCCTGTCAAGTGAATTGACCCTTTCCCTGCAGGGCACAGTGGCCAGAGGAGCTTAGAACACCAGGCAGGAATCGTCTGACGGGGTGGGTTTTCTGTACCAGCCTTTAGTTGTGTGGCTGCCTCTTCTCTGATACATCAGGAACCTAATTGAGCAAGTGGTACTTTTAGTAGGTAGTGGTCAGGTACAGGGGACCCCATGTCACTCCTGGTTTATGCTCAGTGACATGTAAGTGAACCCCCGCACCTAGACCTCACCCAGCAGAACCTGGAACATGGACTCCCCCACTTCAATGGGACAATGTTTCCACATCAGGTTTTACTCTAATTTTACTTAAGATCCACCATAACTTTTTCTAAACTCTCAATGGCAATTGCCTACTTGCTATAAATGAGATCTCCCATATTACACAACAGTCAGATGGTTCTGCTATCTAGAATCCTAAGATATTTGCCTTCCCAGAAAACTTGGGGAATTTGAGAGGTGTTTCTTCAGAAAACCGCATTTGAGGTGTCTCTCTGCTGAAAGAGCATTTCCTCCGCTCTGTACTTAGAAGAAACTTGAACACGAGAATAAGATAATGTGCTTTTGCCAAGGCCTCCATGGGTGGTGTAAGAACAGAAGCAACACTCCTATTTAACCAGAAGGGGATGAATCAGGCAAACTGGCAGGGGAAGAATTGTTTGGCTGTGTTAAAGACGAGTAGATTACAAATGATAAGAGAAAAGAGACCACACTTCTAGGTATTGATAATAAAATGTTCCCGGGGTAGAAAACTATAAGATCCTCAGCATACAAAGTCTGGAGGAGGTCACTGCTTTTCAAAGGAAGTGGTGAGACTATTGGAAATTTTACTGTCAGAAGACACAGTCACAAGATAGGTTAGCTGGAGGGCTTGAGTAGGTACCCATTTGAAGAGAGACTTCTAATACAGCACCTCCTTCCTATATCAAAACATTGTGCAAGCTGTTCATATGCCACTGAAAATATCAAAGCAAAAGCAGGAGCCCTCGGTACTTTAGATCAAGCAGAAGCAGGACACTGAACTTCCAAAGTTATTTTGTGTCTATCTCGCAGACTAACTCCGATAGTTATGCTAAACGGGAGGACAAGGAATCAAAGGTTTACAATGATGGCAGGTTCCTATTAAGCGAATTTGAGAGACCGGTTAGGAAGGCTTGTCTTCCTCAGAGTCCAGGTTTCATTTCTGGGGTATATTTTTTTCTCACAAATGGAAACAGTCACGGAATCATTTGAAATCATTTTGGGTCTTATAGTGTAACCCTGGATGTTTCGGGGATGTGGTTACCACATTCTAAGGACAGTATAGCAGTCCTAACAGCCACACTGATGCTGCAGTTATTCTGTGCCAAGCGCCGTTCAGAGCAGCTTACGTGTCTAACGTAGTCCTCAGAGCAGTCTTTTGAAGTGAGTTATATTATTAGCCCCATTTTACAGATGAAGAAATTGAGGCCCAAAGCCATTGAATGACTTGCCTGAGGCCACACAGCCAGTAAGTGGTTCAGATTCACATGACATGGAACAGGATCTGCACTCTAACTGACCCCCAGGGGTGACAGACCAATCAGGAAATGGGGATGCCAGCCCACATGTGATACATAGCTTAGCTAGTAAAATAAGCAGAAATAAAGAGGGGAAAAAAAAGAACAAAAACAATGAATTTAGTAATTCCAAATTTTCAAGGAAAAAAAATTTATGGGAGCAAAAATTTTCTTGCCTGATTAGCCTTTTGTCCTAACCAGCGTGTGGCTGTGGTGGAGCAGCAAGGCATGGCCACCCCAGCCATTGCCAAGGTGAGGACGGTCCAGCGGGGAGAATGAGAAAGAAAGCACAGCTAGAACCTTGTCTGCCCCCTCACCATCTATTTATGCTGAACTGAGAATAACTTTGCATCTGTAGATGCTTTCAAATAGCCTAGAATTTAAAATTATCATTTCTGTTCTTTAGTGGTATTTTTAAGTGGTATTCTGCTCTAAAACATCATTTATCCAGAGTAGCTGAAGAATCGGTCCGTTTGATTTCATTTCCTTTAATCAGAAAATCTCAGTTGCTCCGACCCTTGCTGAGGTTGGTTAGTACTGACCAAGCCCCTTCTGCCTCGCCTTACTCTGGCCTGTTTTGCTGCAGTTCCTCAGTTCTGCAAGGTTTTTCCAGGGCTTTCTTTGTTTCCTCAACTCGGCTACAAGCCCCTGGAGGGAAGAGGCCCAGCGACTCTGTCTCTCCTGTCATACCTGGCACAGATGGGACACTCAGTACTCACTGTTTCATGAGTTAATTATAGCATCCTTTACTGGTTTTGAAAACTGAGTATAGCAAACCTAGGATACTCTCGCGGTGACTGCTGAGGAACGTGTCATGCCATAGCTTTGAATTGCAAGCCTTAGTTAGAATTGTGATCTGCAATCACAGACAGAGACTGTGCCACCTTGAAGTTAGAGGTCCCTGCACGGTGGTGTCTGCATCCCAGGGCCTAGCCCAGCACAAGGGGCACTGCACAGTGTCCTTCAGTGGATACCCGAGTGATGGTCGAACACTGCTGCTGAGGTATAGCATACTGAGATGTTGATTTTCTGTTTCCATCTCTGGTAGAAATTTGGTTCATGCATGAACCTGCATTTCCCTTTAAAATTGAGAGTGCTTAAGGGAGCCACCCACCTGGAGATTTTTAAATCAAAGTGCTGTCATATGTGTGTTTTCATTTTCTTAATCATTGATTTTCTAACCTCTAGTTAATGAGTACCCTGAAAATATATATATAAATGATTTCATTTTAAGTACCAATAACACATTAGCTTTACACACAGCTTCAAATCAACTCTAACATTTTTTACATGCATGTTTATTGTCTCAAAATACTTGAATACAGAAAAAATATATAAATAGCTGGTTTTTTAAATTTTTTTTAACTCTAGAAGATCAAGAAGTAGCACCCAACCAAGAAATTCTTCCAGCTCCCTTCACCCATCACGTGCACCTGTGTGTTCCCTTCTGATGTATTTCTCGAACTCTCTTTTACAGTGACAGTCACGTAGATCACATCAGATATGAAAATTCTCAAAAGATTAAAATCTAGAATTTTGAAATCAATTCAAAAAAATGTGTCAATGTTTCCTCCACCAGGGAAAAGGCGAGCATGGTCATCCCTGAAGAAAGAGAAGGCCGAGACGACACCAACCTGGACCTTGCAAGAGGCGCAGCATCAACAAATGCGTCCACCGACACCCGCAAAGCCGGTGAGTCCTGCCCTCTGCCAAGAACCTCTGTTGCCGGGAAGGAGCTTGGCTTTTCTCCAAAAACTCCTAAAAACAGAGATGGGGCCAGGGAGAGGACATCAGGCCCCACACTCCAGCCTCGGTTCTGCCATTTAATAGCCACACATCTTCCCCAGAACAAAGCCACTGTGTCACCTGTAAAACACATCAGGTTGAGTCCTGTGCTCCTAAGGTTAGAAGTGGTTGTATCCAGTATTAGATCTAGAACAGTTGATTGAGACTCAGAATGCTCTTTTCCAAAGAAACTTTGGTGGATGCTGATTAGGTTTTGGTCTTCAATCAAAAAAAGCCAATTTGACCCCCAGCTGAGGGGATTTCTCCCTCCTTCCTCTGCCTCTCCCTTCAGGTGTATACCTAGGAGAGTTACTCTGGGCACATACATCTCAGGTGTCTGGCAATCTTGTTTCTGTGCAGTGTTTGCACTGGCATGCCAACAAGTTCTGCCAAAGGCCAGGTACACCATGAACCAGAAGTAACCATTTCCCACACCCAAGTCCCCATTTTCCCATGACAGCAGCTGGTGGGGCTGAAAATCCAGCTCAGTGGTAGTGATTGCCTAGAATGCTCCAACATCCAGCACAACAAAAATCAAAAATAAAAATAAAAATGTAACCCATGAAAACAGCTGGGATTGGCCAAGCAACATGAGAAAAACAATAAAATTGAGTTGATTTAACTACTGGTGAGGTCAGGGCCACTGAGACCACTGGGTCTCAGAATTTAGTAGACTCCAGAGTAACCTCAAGTGCTTCTAGAACTATAGATTCGCTGGCCTCCATCCATAGAAACTCTGATTCAGTGGGTGTGGAATGGACTCAGCATCTCCTCTGATGGAAGTGGTCCTTGGAACACACTTTGAGAAACACTGCCTCAGAACATCTGTGTCTTTTTTGATAAGATTCTTAACAACTCATCAAGGTTGGTGACATTTCATGAAGGACTGCAGAGTGAAAGACACTATGAGAAGGATATATAAGAGCATGTAGGTACCACACAGAAGTCTCTTAATGGAAGTCTGCCCTTTGAGATCCATCCTTAAAGCCTCCATATGAGTTTCCTATTGCTGCTGTAACAAATTCCCATAGACTTGGTGGCTTGAAATAGCACACATTTATTGTCTTGCAGTTCTGCAGGCAGGTCAGAATTCCAAATTGGTTTCAGTAGGCTAGGATAAAGATCCAGCAGGGCTGTGTCCCTGCCAGAGGCTCCAGGAGAGAATCCCTTTCCCTGTTTTTTTGTTTTTTTTTTTCCAGTGCCTAGAAGCTATCTGCATTCCTTAGCTCATATCCTCTTCCTCCACCTTCAAAGCCAGTACTGCAATGTCTTCTCTCCTCTCTGACCCTCCTCCTTCCCTCTTTCACTTCTAAGGACACATGGGCCTACCCACATAGTCCAGGACAATCTCCCAATCTCCAGATGCTTAACTTAATCACATGTGCAAAGTCCCTCTGACCTGTCAAGTGTCTTATTTACACGTTGCAGAGATTGGGGTATGGGCATCGTTGGAGGGCCATAGCTCTGCAATACCCTCCATAGATGTAAGTGTAGTTCTTAACAGCAGCATTAGCATCTCCTAGAGTTTTGTTAGAAATGGGGAGTCTTAGGACCCTTAAGTCCCAGCCCTACTCTTTACACCATCCCTGGTTTATGTGTGTACATGACAGCATCAGAAGCTGTGTTCCTGTTTTTCTTGCAGTGTCCTCTTTTCCCATGGACTGTCTTTTCTCTGGACCCTCTTTTCTCTGGACTCACCGAAATCATGACAGCAGCTCTAAGGCAGTTGACTCAGTGAGCATGCTAAGTGTCTAGTATGTAGCAGGCTCTGTCCTAGGATTTGGGAGTACATGCCCAGTGCCATGTGGTGAGGGCCCTTGGAGGGAACAAACCAGCACAAACCAGAACAGACATGTCTGTACCCGTGAGTCATTGCAAGTTAGGAACGACCCATAGAGGCCTCTCACTTCTGTTTAGTTTTAAGGGAATTCACCTCTGCTTTCTCTATAAATAAACGTTGTAGAAAAGACAGAAAAATGTGGAATAATGCCACGTGGCATTATGTAACCATCCATCAGAGGATAATAACAGAAACACAGATATTAAACTCTAACAGAGCTCCTCCAAGAGTGTCTCCCCAGTGACATTACTGAAAAGGCTCCTTTTTTTTTTTTTTTGGTAGGTGGCCAAGAACAGAACGGAGTACAGCAGAGCATAGTAGTGGACATGCGCGAGTTTCGCAGTGAGCTGCCATCCCTGATCCACCGCCGGGGCATCGACATTGAGCCGGTGACTCTGGAGGTGGGCGACTACATCCTGACCCCGGAGATGTGCGTGGAGCGCAAGAGCATCAGCGACCTGATCGGCTCCTTGAACAACGGCCGCCTCTACAGCCAGTGCGTCTCCATGTCCCGCTACTACAAGCGCCCGGTGCTGCTCATCGAGTTCGACCCGAGCAAGCCCTTCTCCCTCACGTCCCGCGGTGCCTTGTTCCAGGAGATCTCCAGCAATGACGTCAGCTCCAAACTCACCCTTCTCACGCTTCACTTCCCCAGGCTGCGGCTTCTCTGGTGCCCGTCCCCCCATGCCACCGCGGAGTTGTTCGAGGAACTGAAACAAAATAAGCCGCAGCCCGATGCGGCCACGGCCCTGGCGGTCACAGCCGATTCCGAAACCCTCCCCGAGTCGGAGAAGTATAACCCTGGCCCCCAAGACTTCTTGTTAAAAATGCCCGGAGTGAACGCCAAAAACTGCCACTCCTTGATGAACCACGTTAAGAACATCGCAGAATTGGCCACCCTGTCCCTGGACAAGCTCACGGGCCTCCTGGGGCACGCTGCCAACGCCAAGCAGCTGTACGAGTTCCTTCACACCCCCTATGCGGAAGTCGTGTCTAAAGGGAAGCTGAAAAAGTGAGCAGGCTTGTCCTCCCTCGACTGGCGCAGCCCTCTCTGCCAGCCGCACGGGGTCATTATTAATCATCCGCTCAGTGATTCCTTCTTTTCCAGTGCTTTCAATGATTGTGCGTCCTGTCTCCAAGGTCGGTGGACCAGAAGCCAAGCTTCCTGTGCACGTTGGGCTTAGGTGTCTCTCTAACTGTCCCTGGCCTCTCTCTCTTCCCCTACCCGCTGCACTGTCCAGGTCAGGCCTAGTATATTCCATCTCTAAATGAGGAGTGTCAGGACCAGACAGAGGTTCTGCAAGTGTTCATAGAAGACTGCTCCGAAGCAAGCAGGAATTTGTGTCTCCTACACAAACTGATAAGACACACAATCATGTTCTTACCTGCTCTCTACACAGGGCCCTCTGGAACCCTAAGGAGGAGTCTCTCTGCCATTCCTGATCAGTTCTTTCCACCACATTTCCTTCAATTTCATACTCCTTGGGGACTTCCTGCTGCTAATTTAAGAGAGCCACTTCTAAAGCTGGCTGACAAGTCTCCTAACCACCCAAATATATGCAGCACCTACTATAACTTGTTTATCAGAAACCAGTACTTTTAAGACATAAAATGAATTACCTGTTCACAGAATCGAGTGGTACAGGTGCAGGAGCCCTTAGAATTCTTAGTTCTTGCACATGTTCAGTCTCCTAAATCCCAAAGATCTTCAAACCCAAATGAATACTCACAGTCTTGTAAAGACTCCCACTTTTCCCACCTGTCTTCACTAGACTAAGAAACTCATACCACATCCTCCAGAAACACATGGTCCTCTGAGTCCCCATGCCTCCTGTTCCTGTACCAGGCACCTCCTTCTTTTCCTGGGTGAGCTCTCCAACATGAGCAACCCTCAAAGCTTTTAAGATTGAGTTTTCTTTCTTTCCTGTTGAGATAAAAGGATTATAGATAAATGGAAGATCAAAGCATAGAATATATAAAAGCTCAAATGAAATGTATAAAGAAACTAATTCCTTCTAAATCTCCTCCTGATTGACTTAGGTCTGCTTTTTACTGAGGTGTGCATGCAAGGTCTCCATAGCATCTCTGCAGTTTTTAAACTTTGATATTTAAACATTATTAACTTAGCTATTATTATTCACTGTTTAGTAACGAGCAGTCAATTTTCTACCTCAAGAGCTGCTGTAGGCATCAGTTCTGCTGTCCCTGTCATCCGGTATAATCTTTGATCAGTGTCAGCTCTTTCTTGGTTGGTCATGACAAACTAGGACAGTGACCCTTGTAACAGAAATGTGTCTTCTCTTTTAACAAAAGCACTTACTGAACCTCTCATTGGCATCTTGATTTGTTGGTACTTAAAAGTATGTTGGTCCCTCATTGTCCGTGGAGGCTGGTTCCAGAACCCTGTTATGGCACCGAATCTGCGGATGCTCAGGTCCCTCCTATAAAACAGTGTAGTCTTTGCACACGACCTGTGCACATCCTGCTGTGTATTTTAAACCATCTCTAGATTATCTAAGTATTTAATACGGGGTAAATGCTGGGTAAGTAGCTATTAGACTGTTCTGTTTAGAGAATAATGACAAAGGGGGGGGGGGCTATATACATTCAGCACAAATGCAGTTTAATTTTTTTTCCAAAATCTTTTCGATTCTCAGTTAAATCTACGATACAGAACCCTTGGATGCAGACTGTGGGTTTGGAACTCCCTCCAGGGCACTTCAGGAAAGAATTGAGGGGTATCAAGAGCCAGTTTGATGACCATAGAACTCCGTAAGGTGATGTAGAGAACAGAGAAGGAAACGGGTGGAATAAAGATTTGAGCTACTATTTTTGTCCCAGGGATAAAACTATACCCTCCAGGGTAAGAAACAAACCCACTGAATGATGACAACATTAATTGTTGGCATTCACTTCTGTATTTATTATTTTATGGAAGAGTTCAATCATAGTGTATTGACCACTAAAATAGACATACCACTTCAAATGACAATGGTCATTATCACATTTCTTCACCCTAGCCTAGCACTTCAGCGTCGGGTATGTAATTTCTATTTTTTTCTTCTTGTATAATTCCACCTGCCTTTTATTGTTGTGTCATTACATAAAACAAAAGTCTTCACATAGTGTGTTCCATGATGGGGGTTTCATTCCAAGCGTTCAAAACTGAAGTCCTTCTGAGAGCTACCATATTAAGCAACCCGTGTCATCTGATACAATGTGGATAACAGTCTCAACTGTATTTATTTCCAGTGTCCCTCAACTCTCAAAATCTGCTGCCTGCTCTTGTACCTACGGGGACATGAAGACAGGTACACCGTCTCTTGTATGTTTGAATTTCGACCAGTAATTTCTAATGAACTTTAATTGGTCATTATAGGTGAAGGACTCTCCCTTACTTCCTCTCCCAACTAAATGAGTGTATTTTAATGTATTTCCAGTTGTGGAAAACTTTCAATATATTCATCAAGTATTTACTTTTCTCAAATTTTTTTATGAATTTTTACAATCAAAGAATCTTTGATAAAGGAACTACAGATGCATGCCGTTGCAAAATTAAAGTATTACTTTATTTTCTAGCAACATTTTACTAACTTTGCCTTTTTCCTTCCATCTAGCAAATATCCAATTTACTGGTGAACTCATGTGTAGCTTTTTCAAAACCTTTTTTAAAAGCCAGATAGATCATCATTGCTGTTCTGATTTTACAAGTTTTTTGCCTAAAAACTTGAAAACACATGAAATATTGTGAGAAATCATTTTGAGTTTTGTTTATTTAAATCATAGTACCTCTCTTGATATTCCTTAAAATTACACAGGAAGAAATCATTTCTCATAGTGGCCATAAATATTGTAAGTCACTGTTTCTTTAGTCTGAGGTTTAGTAGACAGGGTGTCTACTAAGAATGTAGTTCCCCAGCTCAGCAAGACCTGAAGATAATTGTCTCGTTCATCAACCCATCAGGACACAAAGGAATAAATCCAGGTTTGGTGGTGGTGAGGTGACTTAGTACAAGACTAAGCCTGGGCCTTCAGCAGGAAAACCTTCCCTGAAGCAAATCTGGGGAAAGTAGCCAGGGGAGGGAGACAGGCATTATTGACCTTCGTTCTTGGTTTTGAAGCATGATTTGATCTTTTTTTTTTTTTTTTTTTTTGGCTCAGAGAACTTTAGGGAAATTCTCCTTTGTCTTCAGTTTAACCTAGAAATGGCCCCTGAAAAACCAACACATTAGGAAGATTCTTTTTCTCAGCCTAGAGTATATTCACATGTCACCAGGCTCCGAAATGAGTTGTCACTGTGCTTTATTATTTTGCCTCATAGCTATTTCCTTTCCGATCCTGAACTTAAACACTTCATGACCCATCTTTTTAGCAGCCTTTACCACTGTGCTAGTGTTTTGTTTTTTTTTTTAATTTATGGTTGTGTAAGTCAAGATTTGGATGGGAGGAAGATGAAACTGAAATATATCTATCTGTCACCAATGTGTGTGTGTGTGCGCGCGCGCGTGCGTGTGTGTGATAAAATGTATATTTATTCAACATCCTCCTCAGTATGTTACAGACAAAGCAAAAATAAAATGTATAGTGAAAGGGCATATATTGCCAACAACGTGTTAGTAAGTATTTAAAATTCAGAGTATCTTTTCTTTTTCATTACGCAGAATAAATGATTAAAGCTGAACATTGGTGAACCACTCACTGCCTGTGCTGTCTGACTTGCTAGTGATCCACTTTCTACAACATCAACTTACTCTCCCCCTTTTTTTTTTTTTGCCATAAATACACTTTTCTGTGGGTTATTTTCACTCTGCAACAATCTACTTAACCAAGGGAAGGAGGAAGTATCCTCCTTTTGAAAATACTCAATTCTCTGGTACACAATGATTGCACAGTAAACAGTTCCTGGGACATCTTAAGGAGGGTTAATTTTCCTGGTATGCCCACCACATGGATACTTGTTCCTTTGACATCAAAATTGGAAGAGAATTGTCCCCTTTGACACACCTGGAGTTCACTGTAATTTTTTAAGCAAGTTTAATTATTAATTTACAAATTGACTCATCTCAATGATTTAATTATTCTTGATTTGGCTTTAAAATGTAGCTCCATGTCCCTTTTTAGTGAGAGGTGGGATACTTTATTACTCAAAATGCTTTAATATCTGAATAAAAATTTCGGCAGCCTAATGAACCTTTTCTTAGTAGTAATATGACTTGCATTTGTTGAGGCTTTATGCATTCTCATTTAATCCTCAACAAAACCATAAAGATGCTCAATCCTGTTTTACAAGATCAAAGCTGAAGCACAGAAAGGTTAAGTAATTTGCCCACAGTCACCCATAGTAAATGGTGGAACTGTGATCAGAAATCAAGTAGTCTGATTTTAGAGCCCAGAATGAAACACTGTGGACAGGTTTGGGGAAGGAGCAGTTTGTGAGTCTGGTTTGTGTCCACTTTCCTATATCTAATTACAAATATGCTCTAGAGAAAAGCAAATTGTTTTGCATTTCTTGGCAAATTTATTTCTGCATGTCTTTGACCAACTCTAAACCTCCAGGTCCTTGACTTTCTCCTAAGCCAGTCTTAACATCTTCCTGATTTCCTCTTTAATTCAGTCAAGTAGAATCTTTGACTTCTGTTTTTTTCTTTTTAATGAGACTTTTAACTTTTTTAAAATTATACTTTGCAAGAGTATTGCCAACATAAGTTCAAATAACTCCCATATAATGATAAGACCCACTTCCAACCTCATGCATCCTTAAGTTAAACTGGTCAAGTAGAAGAGAATAACACACACACATACATATATTCTGTGTAAGATATACATATATATATATATACATATATATATATACAATTTCTTAAATATAAAGAGAAGTATAATTGGGTACTATGATATTAATATATTAAAAACTGCAAGTTGATATTAATTTTAAGAACTACAGACAATTTTAAGAGGCTGGCCTGTTGCTCAGTGAACTCTCCTTGTATTTGCAAAAGCCCAGTGTTTGATCTGAGTTCCTCCCTTGTGGAGTCATGGATAATCTATGGGTGTTAAAGATTCGTGGATGATAAAAGAAGAATTTTAAATATTCTCAGGGATCTATCTGTGTGACCAAGATATCTCTACACAGAAGAACATGACTCTCTCAGGACTGAAAGGTAAACAAAACTTGTGATTTCAAAGGGGTTTCCTGGGATTAGTGAAAATAGTCAATAAACTAGGTCTAATGAAATGGTGGCATAGCACATTTGAAAGGAACCCTCTCCTATGATTTTCAGCTCTGGAATGTGGTGTCAATTAGATGCTGCCTTTGCCTGAGTGAGAGATTTGCATCCCCGTGCAACTTTATTTCTGGCAAGGGTGACACCCGTCAGCTTAGGAAAGAAGACAATTTAGTAAAGAAGCGTGACTGGGCAGGTCTGTCCAGCGTCAGCCATTCATTGCATAAGGTGCAGAACTGTCTGGGTTTGATGCTGTAACAGTCTCTGCCATCGGGGATGCACAATCTTGTCATAAAGAGATGTCAAAGCTAGAACATGAGCAAGCAGAATGAAATTGACACAGGAGAGATGTAAGTGCTCTGGAGGAGGAGGGCAAATCCACAGAGGGACTAGGAGGGGCCTCGGAGCAGTGGTGGAAGTCCAGATGGGTCTGAAAGAACAGCTAGGATTTCAACAGACAGATGTGAGTGGGGCCTTCGGTAGAATCCATCAGCTCAGCAAAGATGCGTGGAAATGGAACAATGGTGTTTAAAGACTGTGAACAGTGAGGCAGGAGCAACATAGTGGGCCCACCTTGTACCAGGCTCCCGAGGGATAGGATAAGAGGCTTGTCCTCAATTCAGTAGAAAAGCAGAAGGAAAAGATGTGACCAAGAAGTCCATTTGAGTTTGAAATGGAAAGGAACTACTATTAATTGAGCACCTACACTGTGCCGGGGACTTGATAGTTATTATCATAACCTTACTGCCAGGGAACTGAGACTCTGGAGAGATTAAGAAATTAAAACCACAGCAAAAATAACTGCAAATTCAAATCACAAAGCTCACCTTCTTTCTCCCACTTCTTGCTGGCTGGCAGGGAGGAATGGTGGGGAGATTACTGCAGAAGCCACTATACCAACCCAAGCAATAGGTAATGAGGGCCAGAAAGAGGAAGATGGCTTTGGAAATGGAAAGAAGGACATAAAGAAGTATCCAAGTAGGCCAGTCAATGGGGCAAAGGAAATATATGCCTAGGAGGAGTTCAAAGCCAGTTTTGAAGCCTGGACTCAGGAAATAATGGGAGTGTTTAACAGGAAAAAAGCAAGTCTGAAGAAGGGCCTGGTTTAGAGGAAGAAGGATAAGCTCAGTTTGATAGTTACTATGAGATGGGTCAGGCTCCATTTAAGATGTTGGAGACATCTGCACAGAAGTGAGAGGTGCAGGCTTTGCATAAATGGCTAAAGGTGAAGAAACACAGAAGGACCAGCAGACAGCTTTAGACAATGCCCACCTTTAGGTGGAGGATAGACACACAGAACTAGGGAGGAAAGGGAGAGGGAACTGAATCACAGTAACCAGCCTGAAAGGCAGGAGAGAATTTCAAGGCACTGACCCCAAAGGTTAGGAGTGCAGCAGTCCTAGTGCTGGTGGCCTCCAGATGTACCACAGAGCACACTGGTCATCCTGGGTCATGGGGCAGGGGCCTGGGACACACTCCAGCCTGAGAGGCTGAGAAGCCACGGGGAAGGTGAAGATGGGAAAAGACTCTGACTGGGGCGAGGGCCAGGTCAAAGGTGACTCTGTTCATGGGAGATGGGGATGCAGGAGCAGAGCAGACTGGGAGAAGGAAAATGCCCCAGAGAAGAACAGACAATTAAACAGCTCTGGCTAAAGCTCAGAGCTGGAGGTAGAGGAAAAAAATAAAAGTGGCCTTGCTTTTCTTCCTTTCACACCTACAGAAAACCTGTTTTTGTATTGATTTGCCTCTTCTTAAAGACCAGCATTTATGTTACCAGGCGTACCTCCAACTTGGCACAGAACCACAAGTCACAGTGAATAACAGCCAGCGCTTTTCTGAAGCCTTCTATTTTAACAAAGCAGCGGTGCTGTTTGGCCGCGAGGGCTGCCCGTATGTATACTGGCTGGGGAAAGGCCTAGAATCCCACTGTTTGTAAGCCAAGTTTTCAGCTTTATTATTATTGAAAGCATCCCTTTCAGCAAGTTACAAAGTCAAACCGAGTGCTGGCTAATGGCACCTGAAGCAGCAAGTTGAGGTTCAGTGGCTCTCCCCAGCCAATCCCAAGACTTGGTAAGGATTTTTATTTTGGTTGTGCTGAGCTTACTGTAACTGGGGCGGCCGAGTTGCTATGGTGATTTCTTCTCAAAACAAAGCGCTTTGCTTCAATGCATTGAAACAGCCGATAAATCTACTTAATGTTGACTTGATCATGACATTAATTCCAGTTGAGACAGCACCCCACCCCCGACCCCACCCCCGCTCCCATTAGGACTTGGGTATAGGAATCTGAAGTGGGCCAAGAAGGCATTGGCTAAAAATAATAATAATAATAATGCAACTTGGCTTTTTAAACCTGGGGCTTTACAATTGACAGAGTTGAAGGCTGTTGGCTTGCAGCCTGGAGAGCTGTACCCTGGGGGCGGCCTGCAGCTGGGGGAAGGTTCGTCCTGAAGCAATTATGTAGTTAATTGCTCCAGTGTGGGCCTAGGTTGAAGGTTGTGACTCACACTTGGAGCTCACCCCTCCATGCAGGTGCGGCGGACAGGATGCAGGATGCAAGGACCTCAGCTGCTGCTTCCCGTTCCTCTGGTACATCTGCAAGTCCTCTCCCCCGTCTGCCCTTGAGGTGGGGGAAAGGCAGATCTTAGCTCCTCCGCACGGGCCGTCTTGGTCTCACCAGTAGGGGTCCCCATTGAGTCACGAGTCCTAAACTGTTGAGGCTGGAGTCACCGGACACTTTAAGGATGACTGCGCTTTGACTGGGGTGTCTCTGCCTCTGATTTCTTGCCTAACCCCGTAACATGGGAGAGAAAAAAAAAAGGAGATGCCTGACTTCCAGAGTGACTCATTCATTATAAACAAAACGGAGGACAGATTCACTGCCTCTTATCGGAACCGAGTATGTGCCCCAGGACAAGCGTGAGTCAGAACAGAAGTCCTGAGCCTTGTTGATCAGAGTATTCCCCCTGCAGCCCCACCTCCCCAGGAAGAGGTGCACTGGGGGTGTAACTCTGTGGGTTTCTTAAATCCTATCAGAGACCCCACACTAAACCCTGGGCTTCTAAGTGAGTCAAATCCCCTCAAAACCAAGAAGCCTTCCAAGTTAAAGATAAAAATTGGCCATATCTACAAAGAAACTCATTTGGAGTGGACAGAAATGTTTGTAATCTTAGCAGTGATGATTTCTCAGCATATGTCAAAAATCAACAAAGGACACTTTAAATATGTACAGTTTACTCTATGTAAATTATACTTAAATGGTTTGGGTTTTTTTTTTTTTTTTAAGAAGAAATAGCGGGGGCTGGGGTTGTAGCTCAGTGGTGGAGCGCTTGCCACGCAGGCATGAGACACTGGGTTCGATCCTCAGAACCACATATAAAAATAAATAAATAAAACAAAGATATTGTGTCCATCTACAACTTAAAAACAACTCACAGACTGGCGGAGGTAAAAACACCTAGCCACAACCCATCTTCAGTGTGCTGTATCTTGAAGCTCCAGGTAGCTCTTTCCATCCATACCCATGTCTGCTTGTCTGTGGGTGCAAACCCATAAAAGACACCAGCCTGCAGGGATCCTGACGTTGTATCATCGAACACTGATCCCAGTCTCCCAGAGCATGTGTTACTTATTTTTTCACTTAAGACCCCACTCTCCAAAGGGAATTGTAGCAGCAAGAAGGGGTGAAGCCCAGATTGGCAACCAATTTGGAGTGGTGGTGGTGGGGAGATGTTAGGTAGCCAAGAAAAAGAAGCACCTTCTGTGGACTCTGCCCCACCCCACCTCAGGCAGCCATGGGGTGGAGAGGGCTGTTTGTGCCTTCTTGTTCCAGTGGAGGCAAGTCGGGTCAAGTCGACAGCATGACTGCACTCAAGAGCTGACTGTCAGCGGTGCCTGCAAAACACGCACATGAGAAATGACTTCACGCTTGGAGACCAGCTTACCAGCAAGCATATTAATTTAGGGGAAAACGAACACAGGACTTAGAAGGAAAGCAAAACAATAACAAAAAAATGAAGTAGTTTGGCAAGTGGAGTCACTCAAAGAATGAGCAGTCACCAGAAGAGGGACGGGCGGGGTTCAGATTTTTTTTTAATATAAATAACCTCAATTGGGAAAATATGAACATGTATCTATACATGAACCTCCTATGACTTCCTGAAAAGTACGTGGGATTTTTCTCCATATGGATCAAATGGCCTTAGGGGACAGGAAAAGGGACTTTTCCTTTCTCCTTCTAGAGGTATGCTCTTGCGAATATCTGCTTTTGATGGCTAATCTTATGGGAAAGGTCTGTATTTCTTTCATTTTGATGGCTAACTTCATCCCAAAGGACTTAATTATGTCTTTCATTTTCCCCTTGGTTTCTAATATGACCTGCATTAGACTCTGCTGCTGTCTTTTGGCAAAGAAATTCAAGGTTCGTGTCCAAGCCATCTGGAGAATTTGTCGTTTTAACAAGGGGGCCATCTATGTGGGAGGGCTTAGTTAGTCTCCTAATTGCTCAATCAGTGTGTGTGTGGGGAGGTGCACACGCACATATGCTGCCTCTCCAGATTCTGTACACTCTTTGAAGGTATGTCCTTGCCATGTGGATATCCTCAAGCGCAATGCCTATGAGTGTCTGTAATTCCCAAAGATAGTCTCAGATTACAACTTCTTTTGACATATGCCATAAATACATTCATACTTTTTTAGATCGATCTTTTTGCTATAGAAAACACTGTCCAGAGAAAGTATGTTCTCAACTAGTCTTTCTCTTGAAATCCAAAAATTAGTATTTGGAAAATCATGTCTGTTTATTCAACAAGCATTCTGAAGTGCCTACTCTGTGCCAGAACAGCAGAGCCCGTCCCATAGATCAGAGTTAACAGGTTGTTGTTTTCTCCAGATCCTAAAGAATCTAAAAAACAGAGCAAGCTTCTGTATTTGTAATAGTGGAATTGCAGTAACATGCTACTTATTTAAAACAATGACAACTAACTCATTGCCTGGAAGTAGCCTGTGTTCACAGCACTCCAATATGCATTACAGAGCTCCGCGGTGCTATAAGCATGGGTTACAGAAGTTGCAAAAGGATACTTGGTGGCAAACTGCCAAGCAAGACCTTATTTCACATTTAATGCCTCATAGGAAGAAGAGAACACCAGAGAAGTCTTTGGAGCATCCAGGAGAGTTCAGTTGTTGTGAAAAGCAAGGAATCCATGTCCTCTGTTGCTAGCAATCTCCAAGTCACTTGCTGGTTTTGCTGAGCCGGGTCCGGGTGCCGTCCAGAAATGGAAGAGAATATTTACAAAAGAAAATACATTCTTCAGGTGGGTGTTTTGTAATGTACTCCTGAGAGCTGTTGTGGAGATAAGTTTCATAATGGGGCCTTTTAGAACAAGCTCTTAACCTTCCATCTGACACTTTGAATTGAATTTGTCAATCTGTGGTCCAGACTCAAACCTCCTGTGTTTCTTATAATTAATAACTTTATTTCCCTCATCTTAGTCTAACTTCTGTTTAAAATAGATGCTTTTATAATTGGCCCCCTGGTACTTAATAGTCCACAAAACATGCATTGATCCATGCATGAACTTCTTTGTTATTTTCAATGAAGATAAAACTCCCGAAATTTCCCCTACCCCCATTGCCAAAAAAAAAAAAAAAAAACCACAAGGACCTTGACAAGAAATTAAAACATATCAACCCTATATATCCATATTCATTTGATTTCCCTCCTTCTCCCAAGCCAAAGTGAACCGTCATCCTGAGTTATGTGATTAATATTCCCTGACATTCTTTTCTGTAGGATCTTATCAAGTCTTCTTTATGGGGGCTGGGGATGTAGCTCAGTTGGTAGAGTGCTTGCCTCACATGCACAAGGCCCTGGGTTAAATCCCCAGCACCACAAAAAAAATAAAAATAAAAGTATTCTTTGTGTTATATGTATTAAGTATGTGTATGCATACATGTTGTTTTAACTTTATTTTTTTTTAAAAAAGTGTAATTGTAGGGTTTACTTATATTGGTAAGATCCACCCTGGTGATGCATGTGGCAGGCATTCGGTTTGGCCTTTCTATAATATTTCATTATATGAATATATCAGAATTTATTCACCAGCACTCCCTTTCCTGGTTGTCTGGGTTACTCATAGGTTCCTGATATTATGAACTGTACTTTTATGAACATTCTTAACATCTATCCAGTCTTATCCATGTGCAATCTAGGAGTGAAATAGTTAGGTTAAGGGTTACATTCAACTTTAGGGGACAGTGTCAAACTGGGTTTTTCTGTGTGTTTTTATTGATGCATTATAGTTTTATATAACAAATATAAAATCATATATACATGGCATATAATTCCCCATTTCATTCCCCAGTACTTCCTCTTTCCTCCCCCTCCTCCCTCACCTGTTCTCCTTCCTCTACTCTCCTGGTCTGCCTTCTCTTTACTTATTGCTTCTTTTTAAATTGGTGCTGTATAGTATACACAAAGGTGGAATTCACCGTGGTACATTCGTATGTATTCATAGCATAATTTGGTCAATTTCATTTCACAGCTCTTCCCTTTTCCTGTGCCTCCTCCCTCCCCCTCTACTCCACTGATCTATTTTCCTGGGACCCACCCTCCTTTTATTTTTTTTTTCTTATTTTGCTCTAGCTTTCACATATGAGAAAAAAAAACATTTGGCCCTTGACTTTATGAGCCTGGCTTATTTCACTTAGCGTGATGTACTCCAATTCCACCCACTCATTCACTTACCAGTAAATGCCATCATTTCGTTCTTCTTTATAGCGGAGTGAAACTCCCTTGCATAGATATACCATATTTTCTTCATTCATTCATGTGTTGACGGGCACCTGGGCTGGTTCCATAACTAAGTTATTGTGAATTGTGTTGCTATAAATGTTGATGTGGCTGCATCTCTATAGTGTGCTAACTTTAGATCTTTTGGATAAATATCAAGGAGTGGGATAACTGGGTCATCCGGTGGCTCATTTATGGAATATCCATACTGCTTTCCAGAGTGCATGTACTAATTTGCAGTCCCACTGACAATGTCTGAGTGTACCTTTCCCCTCTCATCCTCATTTTCTCCTTATTATGCCTGGCAGGTTAGTAAGATGCTTTGGGTCAAGTTCCCAGAACAGGCCCTGGGTCACATACCATTAAAGCTAGAAGAAGCTTTAGAGATAGGAATGAGGAACCTAACTAAGGCTTATTCACTCAACAACTATTAATCAGGACTAACTTGGTGCTAATTATTGCCCTAAACCCTGGAAATTCACTAAAGAATGAGTCAGACAAGACCTCCACTTTCCTGGGGTCACCTTCTCATCTTGGGAGGGAATCAGGATGACAGTGTGATTAAGGTACTATGAAAAACACAATGTTTAGATAGGGAGAGAGAGAAACAGAAAGCTACTGTTTTTGGACCTCCATTATTCTCCTTTGCCTTCCTGGGAGCGACACTGAATAGTAGGGCATCTACAAGCACTCAAACTCCCGTCTGAAAACACCTCCTGCCGCTGCCTGGACTGCTATATGGTATGCCAATCAAACCCACTAGTGCAGCCCAGCACCCAAGCTAGGCGAACATGATTCAGAGAGCCACGGAACCATCAGTACACAAGACTGGATACGTTCTGAAAGCCACTCATGTCAAGTATGCCCTCATGAGCACCCACTGTGTGCCAGGGTCCTGTGGAAGGTACCAGGGCTACCAAGATGAAAAAGTCAGTGCTTATGATCTCCAGGAACTCACAATATCCTGGGCAAGGCAGAAACACATGGTGACACTTTCAAAGCACTGCATATGCTGTGATGGAGACGTGAATGGAGTTCACTGGGAACCCAGAAGAGAAACACCCAGTCTGGTCTTGGAAGTCAGGAAGACTTCGCGCAAGAAGGAAGGCCTACTGGAACAGTTTGTGCTCTGTAAGGCCACCAGGAGCAAAGAGCTAGGTGGGTGCTAGAGGGCTAGTTCTGTGGTTAAGCACACAATTTTAAGCACACAACTCTGGCTCAAACAGCCTCACTTAATATCTTACATTACCCAACCAGCAAAAGCATTCATTTTCTCATCTGTAAAACAGGGATGATAGAGAACCTATTAGGAGAATTAAATTAAAATGTGTCGAGTACTTAGCTCTTAGTCAATTCCTTTCATGACCAACTCACAGCAAATCAATTCAATTGGCCAAATGACCAATACACTGAATTTGCCTTACCGAGTGAGTAGCTTTAATTAGAATATTCATCTTTGAGTTTCCTATTGTAAGATATGCTTTTCTGTCTATTAACCAAATTTAGCTTGATAATGTCACCCAGCAAATGAATCTTGTGTAATGCTACCTTTTAAAAAGTGACATATGCAAAGCCCTGGGTTCAACCTTTAGCACTGCAAAGGGGGTGGGCGGTGGCAAAGCAGGAATAAGTCTAAGCTGATTTTTTTTCCATGTGAATTGATATTTTCCAAATATTAAGCATTTAATGGTCAAACAAATTTGCTTCAGTTTCTTCTCATTTCCTTTTGATACTCATGAATGTCTTTTTCTATTCTTTGAACTGTAAATATTTTTTTATGATTTTTCATCAGTTTTCTCTCTCCCCCCCTGCCCCCCGCTTTCTCTCTCTTTTTCTCTCTCTCTAGCTGAATGGAACTTCAGTTGACTGAAACAGCAGACATCAAAATGCTGGATAAGAGGGTTTTGTGATTGTTAGAAAATATGAACTGGAGATAAATAAATAAATGTGTGTACCTGAATTTTTACTAGACAGATATCATTTCCAGCACTTCAATGTGTATCCTGGACTTTTCTTTTGTCAGGCTTAAATTTAAATTTATTAAGTTTAAAATAGAATTTAGTTTTAATTCAGTTTTAAACAAATCAAATTTTAATGCAAAACATCCCAAAGAAATCTGAAATCTCAATTAAGTTTAAAGGCATATTAGAGAAATCAGGATTAGCTAAAACAATTCTTTCCTGCGAAATGCTGAAAATTTTGGCTCTAACAAGGATCATTTGAAATACGTGAATAAGTAGCAGTTTGCATAAACATCTGACATAAAAATGTGTTCAACCGTTCAAAAAACGAGAAAGTTAATTTCCTCGGAATAAACTAGAATAGTGAATCATGTTATCAGTACTTCATTTCTGATATGCATTAACCATAAATAGAAACTTTAAAGGAAACAATCAACAAAACCAGCTTTATAAAAGCCCAAGATTGTTAAGTGATCATCAAAAAGTTGAACAAAGATTGTAACCAAAGCATTGACCATATTCTTAAAAAAAAAAAAACTTCAATGTAACCATTTTACAATCCAGATAATGGGTACATGGTAATTTGCGGTATAATTTTCCCCCATGGCTGGGTACTGATCCCAGGACCTCACACATGCTAGGTAAGCACTACTGTGTTCTACCACTGAGCCTCACTCCACAGCCCTGTATAATGTTTGAAAATTCTAAATATGCAGGTTGGGGGGGGGCAGGAAGTTGATGTAAGATCAAAATTTCCTATAAGAAATGCTGAAAGCATATTTCTATCAATAACAACCAAAACTAAACATTGCCTAAAGCTATGAAATTTTCTGGTAAAAGCTACTGAAACTTTTATTGTTTTAATGAATATACAAACTGACTAATGTTGGCCAGTGGTTCATTCTGGAAAACTAATTTAATAAATGGGTTTTCATAAATTAATTCCTGGGATATTAAGCCTCGAAGAAGAGAACGCATTCCTGGCAGGAAAAAAAAAAAAAAAAACAGAAAGTAGATGTGGGAAAGAGGAAGCAACAGAATTTAGCTGGAATTCTGCAATCCAGAGAGGGAGAGGGAATATGGAGGAGATTGGCAGGGCCCACTCCTAGGGCAGTTAAAGCCATGGGAGGGTTTTATAATACTTGGAAGTTGTATTGTGAGGGTTTTTGTTTCCTTTATTGTAAGCATAACATGATCTCATCAAATCTGGCCTAAGGAGAAGAATCTAAAAAAGGAAAATGAAAAACATAATCCTGTCACTCGAATTTTTTACAGGACATGCTAATAAGCATTTTTCTTGATACTTTACTTTTTCTCCTGAAAGGCTGTAAGTTTTGATATGATGACCAGTGGGTGACTGCCTGACCCCAGTCAAGGACCTTTCCAGATAGTACTTTTCTCCACCCTGGAGCACCTACCAGTATTGATTATTATTATTCTTTTTTGTTTATTTATTTTTTTTTCTAATGTATTCTACATGACAGCAGAATGCATTTCAATTTATAGTACACATATAGAGCACAATTTTCCATGTCTCTGGTCGTATACCAAGTAGAGTCACACCATTTGTGTCTTCATGCATGTACTTAGGGTAATGATGCCCATCTCGTTCCTCCATCTTTCCTACCCCCTTGTCCCCTCCCTCCCACTCCCTTCCGTTTGCCCTGTCTAAAGTTCCTCCATTTCTACCATGCTCCTCCCAACACCCCCATTATGGATCAACATCCACATATCAGAGAAAACATTTGGCCTTTGGTTTTGGAGATTGGCTTACTTCACTTAGCATGATATTCTTATCTTTAAAAAAAATAAAAGGAACTTCTACTAAAGAAATTACAGCAGTCCTTTTATCCACATGGGTTAGGTCCCAAGACACCAACAGATGCCTGAAAACACTGAACCCTCTATCTACTGCTTTTTCTATGCATATATATATATATATATATATATATATATATATATATATATATACCTATGAGAAAGTTTGTAAATTAGGCACAGTAAGAGACTAACAGCAGTAATTAATAATAAAATATGACAGATATAGCAATATGCTATATATGCAAATGTCCTCTCTCTCTCTCTCTCTCTCTCTCTCTCTCTCTCTGAGATAAATAAATAAATGTGTGTATGTAAATTTGTACTAGACATATATCATTTCCAGCACTTCAATGTGTATCGTAGACTTTTCTTCTGTCATTACTCACATGGATATTATGGAATCTTCTCATATACAGTATATTCTAATTTGTAAGTTTTCTGCCTAACACTACATATAGTTCAAGCTATAAATGTTCATCTACATAAGTGTTTGAGTGGTACAGAATATTGCATCGTGTGGGCAGTGTCTAAACTGCATTCCAAATGTGCGTCACAGTCACCAACCAATCACAATGGACTCTGGCTAGTGCTGTCATACACTGTCATTGACCGGGGCTTCACTGAGCCAATCCCACTGTGCTGACTCTTGTTTCCATTTGTCCCCAACCAGCTGCAAGGATGAAATGAGTATCTTGTACACTAAATCTTTGTGCACAGCATGATCATTTTCTAAGGAGATGTTTTTAAAAGTTTAATAATTCTTAATCAAAGGAATTTCCGTGTTTTAACTTTTATAATATATTTAACCAAATTGTTCTCCAAGGTTTTATCAATTTACATTCACTTTGGTAGGAAACAAGGGTCGTTTCCCACACCCTCTGAGAATACTACCATTAATATTCTGAGTTCAAATAACATTTCACTAATTCAGTTTGCATTTCTTCTATTACTATTGAGATGAAATTTTCAATGTTTCTTGGTCATTTTTGTTTGTCTGTATGGACTTGCTGTTGGTATTCTTTCTCCTTTTGTCCATCAAGTGTCTATTTAAATTTTGGTTCCACTGAAAATTGATATCAGTATGAGATATGATGCACGGGTCTATAAAAGAAACTTCGAAATGGTGAGCTTAGTGGTTGAACAACATTTTTTGAAAATATTCTCTTTGCCTCCTGATTTTAATTGGCACCTTTGTCTTATATTGTACATCTGTTTGCACCTGGATGTATTTTTGTCTTTCAATTCTATTCCTATGTTGTGTTGATTATTCTTGCAATCATATATGTTTATCATTCTGTAATGACTTTTAATAACTTGTTGAATAGTTGCCTTTCTATTATTCTGTTTGACAATTTTATTGGCTAACTGGCCATCATTAAGCATTTATTCTTTTACATGAATATTCAATATTCCTTTTGTTAGATTTTTTAAAAAATTGTGTTTTGATTTTTCTTGGAATTATGTCACATTTATGTTATTCTGGTAATGGTGGGCATCCTTTACAACATTAGGAAATTAGTGTTTTGCCATTTGTTGAAGCCATTTTTCATGTTTTCCAGTCATATTTTATAGTTCACTCCATAAAGATGGAGCGATTAACTTGCCCAGTTAATTTGAAGCTATTTACCATCACTGCACATTACCTCTGCCCTGCCCTCGCCATCCTGCTCTGTGAACTTTTATGGATTCTGTAACTGACCATCTTGTGGGGCTCACTGACTATTAATACTTTTTCAGCTGATACTTTTGAACATTTCAGGTCGGACAATGATAACTTTGTGCCCTTCTCAATATTCCTATTTTTTTTCTCTTGTCCTGAGCAAGGTTCAGGAATTCACAATTGTGGGGACACCATTTACCCCGCCTCACTATCCCTGAATCTGCTAAACCAGAGCACTCTCTTTTTCCCTTCTCTCTCTCCTTAGTGCCTGATTATCAGGACTGGGACCCTTGGTAAAATTGACTGGGACACTTTTAAACATTTTTATAGCCTGAAGCCAATTCAATTATATAGAAAGTGTCTCTTACCTTAACATGTGACTGAGTTTGTCCACCCACCCCCAAAACACCTGAACCTCTATCTCATGGAAGTGGTGGGGAGTTCTTTATCAGTTTCTTCCATGGCTTTTAGTCTCATCCGATTTTTCTATCTCTTCTTGAGCAGGTTGCTTTGCCTTATTTAATTTTCATAAATTTAAACAAGTATGCTTTTGTTATTTTATTTTATTTTATTTTGGTACTGGGGATTGAACCCAGGGGCACTTAACTACCGAGCCACATCCCCATCCCTTTTTATATTTTATTTAGAGACAGGGTCTTGCTAAATTACTTAAGGCCTTACTAAGTTGCTGAGGCTGGCTTTGAACTCGCAATCCTCCAGCCTCAGCCTCTCAAGCCACTGGGTGCTTTCAACTTTAATCTTCTTCCGTCTCTATGTTTCTAATCCCTTCTTAATTCTATCATTATTTATTTGTATTTTCTTTTTTTTCACATGTAAACTTGCTAGAGGCTTGTCTCTTTTATTTTTATTTTTTGTTTGTTTGTTTGTTTTCTTTTGTTTTGGTACCAGGGATTAAACTCAGGAGTACTTAACCACTGCACCACATCCCCAGCCCTTTTTATTTTTTATTTTGACACAGGGCCTTGCTAAGTTGCTTAGGTCCTCACTAAATTGTTGAGGCTGGCTTTGATCCTGCCTCAGCCTCCTGAGTCACTGGGATTACAGGTGTGCACCACCGCCCCCTGCCTTTAGTGGTCCTTTAAAAGAGCTAGCTCTTTAATTTCTTATCAATTCTATTATTTTCTGCTTTCTAATTTACTTATGTCTCTTTTATCTTTCACTGTCTGTCCATTATATTTTATCTCCATTTTTTAGTCAATAGCTCAGTGTTTCTTTTTTAATCCTTCATTTTTATTCAGTTACCGTTTAAACTTTGTCTCCTCTCCAATAAGTGACCAGAAAGAAGGATGCACAGAGAGGACACTGTAGCTAGGAGATCGGGCTCAGAAATAGAGATCAGCATGCACTTCTCCGCTGGGCTCCTGGCTCTGCCTCTCGGGTGCTAGCTCTTCAGATGGTGCCATTATGCACATCATCTCTTTCCTACTTTGCTTCCTGCTAAATGTTAACCAGAGAGCCAAAGTGGCCCAGGGCTGCGCTCCATCTTTGGCAGTCATGGAAACGAAGGCCCTTCCAACTTTATCGCTTTTTCTGAAGCTGTTTGGTCTCATTTGCAGGACCCTGGGGCTTAAGGGGCACTTCCTTGGAATTGCATCTATCAGCGTGAGAATGTGACCATTCGTGTGACCATGAACAACAGACAACCTAATGTACTGAGTGTTTCTGACACCCTGGCACAGGAGCCACCCTGCCCTGCCCTGCCCAACCCCAACCTACCCCAATCCCTTCAGCCATCTCTCATCTCCTCCTGGCTCTGCAGGATTTATAGAAGGAGGACTCTGGTACCGAGCATTAAGAAGATGTAAGGGGGCACGTGATTGGATTTGATTGGAAATATCAGACTGTTGAGCAGGAGGGAAGGATGTACAGTGTCAAACACTCTTCAGTCAGACCAGGCTAAGTCTACCTGTGACATCTCAAACGGCTCAGTCCCAAGGCATCCCAGGGCCTCAGCAGAGAACCTTAAGGGACCCTGATTTTAATCCCTGGCTTCTAGTGGAACTCCATGCAGGACAGTGTCAGTGTCCACTGGCCTTTTTCATATGGTGACCAGCAGAGAGGAAACACAAAATTGGGGAATGGAAGGAGGTAGGTGTCTGCCCATGCCCGATTGTGCAACCTCCCTTCTTTATGGAACGCAGATCTTCACTTCTAATCAATTCCTTGCAGGATCCCAGTTCCTGGGTTGCATTCCTGAAGTGATTAGCACTGATAAAAGTTTACTGAGCTTTTGCTATGTGCCAGATATTATGCTTAAGTATTCTTTTTTATTAGCTTTACTGGGACAGAATTTACAAACCATAAAACGGATTCATTAAATGTATACAATTCAAAGATTTTCAGAAAATTTATAGGATTGGGCAGCCATTATCAAGATCCAGTTTTAGAGTGTTCCATCATCTTCCAAAACTCCCTTAAATCTGTTTGTAGTCAGTCTTCTAACCCACGTTCAGCTCCAGGAAATCATTGATCTGCCTTCTGTCTCTACAAATTAGTCTTTTCTAGGAATTTCATGTAAGTTGAATCATAAAATATATATTCTTTTGTATCTGGTTTCTTTCCCTTGGTACAGTGTTTTTGAGATTCATCTATGTGATAGCATGTATCAGTATTCCATTCCTTTTTATTGTTGAATAGTATTCCACTGTATGGATATACCACATTTTGTGTTAACTATTGACAAGATGATGGACATTTGGATCACTGTAGCTTTTTAGTTATTATGAATACTGTTGATATGAATGTTCACCTACAAATATTTATGTGAACATGTGTTTTCGTTTCTTTTGGTTAGATATTTAGGAGTAAAATCATTAGGCTGCTTAATAAACTTCTTTTTAACTTTTAAAGAAACTAATGAACTGTTTTCCTGGGGGACGATACCATTCCCACAAATGATATATGAAGATTCTAGTCTCTCCATATTCTTGCTAATGCTTGGTGTTGTCTACCCTTTTTATTGTAGCCAGTCACATGGGCATAGAGAGGCTTCTTGTTGGGTGTGGTTTTCTATGTCTGCCCCACCCCCTCATCAACACTATTAGGATAGGCTAGGTTATGCTATGGTAACAAGCAACCTCCAAGCCTCAGGGACTTCAAACCACAAGGGTTATTTCTCACACATGCTGCATGGCTAGTGATGACTAGAAATGATGAGGAGAAGGAGTGCTCGTCAATGGCACCCAGGGACCCAGGCTGATGGGAAGTCCCGGAGGAGGAAAAGGCAGACTGCTGTGGTTTCAACGTCCCCACCAATGCTCATGGTGAAATTTAATTGCATTGTAACAGAGGTGGCATCTTTGATAGGTGGGATCTTTAAGAGATGATTAGAACAAACAGGCACCACCCTTGCCAATGGATTAAGCCTTTTATCACAGGAGTGAGTTCGTTATTAGTGGACTCTTGGTGAAAGGATGAGTTCGGCCTGCTTTCTCTACTTGCCTTTCTTCCGTGTTACAATGCAGCACAAAGGCTCTGGCCAGACCCTGACGCCATGCTCTTCCCAGTCTCCAGAACTGTGAGAAATTCTTTTCTTCTTTATAACTTACCTAGTGTGTAATATTCTGTTATAGCAACAGAACATGGGCTCAGACACAGACCACACCAATTCTCAAAGCTTCTGCCTGGCAGTGACAAAATCACTTTCATTCCTATTTCACTAGCTGGCAATTCACACGGTCACCATTAACTTCAAAAGTGGGCGAAAAGGGCTGGGCCTGTGGCTCAGTGGTCCTGCACTTGCCTGGCATGTGTGAGGCACTGAGTTCAATTCTCAGCACCGCATAAAAATAAATAAATAAAGGTCTATCAGCAACTAAAAAAATATTTTTTTAAAAAAAGTGGGTGAAAAATAGAATCATCATTTTATCGAGAGGGGAAGATGAATTGGAATATTTGTGGAAAGCTAATGCATTTTATAAATGCTGAGGAAGATATTCTAAGCTTTTTACAGACTAGGAATCCAAAGCTCAGAGCTGAGGGGCCTTGAGGAGGAAACACTGCTAATAATTCAAGCCGAAGCAATCCGCCTCCCAAGCCTGTGTTTGTGTGTGTGTGTGTGTGTATGTGTGTATGTGTGTGTGTGTGTGTGTGTACCAGGGATTGAACTCAGGGCACTCGGCCACTGAGCCATATCCCCAGCCCTATTTTGTATTTTATTTAGAGACAGGGTCTCACTGAGTTGCTTAGCACCTGGCTGTTGCTGAGTCTGGCTTTGAACTCATGATCCTCCTGCCTCAGCCTCCCAAGCTGCTGGGATTACAGATGTGCGCCATGTTGTTTGCATTCTTATCAACTACACTAACACTTTCACTGAGATACTATTTCCTACAGAGTTTGAAACATCCCCACTGAGGAGCAGGATACACATACACACACACACACACACACACATACACGAACAACTTTGGCACATGGCTTTTACTCAGTCCCACAGTGAGATGGAGCTCACATCTAAAGAGCCATGTCATGATCTCTAAATACTGACTCTGCCTGCTTCAAACTAGGGTCCATGTAATCATCTCCTTAGAGATACAGAAGACCTCTGGTCCTGTCTCCACCTTCATAGCTACAGATCATATCCTTTTACTACCCGTCCTCACGTACATGATGCTTTTGCTCTCAAAAAACTCCAGACCAACTTCCAAACAGAGAAAATCCTCTGTGCTTGGAATGGGTCAAATAAGTTTCTTAGTTAAAAGCCAGCAAAGACAGGGAGAGGGACTCTGTTGTAAACAGGGAAGAGCAGCACGTAACTCCAAGCTGACTTGGTGCCCCAAGGAGAGTACAGCTGTGGGTTTCCAGGTCCCCGTGCTGAGAACCGCGCCACGGTCAGGTTTGCAATGCATCCTGCAGGCCTGGACCTGGCTCTGCCGGCTGGCTCTGAAACCTTGCACAGCTGGCTCCTCTAAGCCTTAGTTCCCTCCTTGGTAAATGGCAATAATAGGAGGATCTATTGGACTTAGGATTGAATAAATAAGGAAATATGTGAAAGTCCTTAGCAGGGCTCCCGGAGCTTGGTGAGGGTTCAGTGGTCATTTAACCAGGGGGACCATTGACGTCATCATGACCTATTCAGGTAGCTGAAAACGGAAGTCTCCAGATTTGGGGTTCAGGGACTTGTTGGTCTTGGAATCATATTCTCGGTTGAAGTTCCCCTGGGAGGACTTTGTCAACACTAGTCCAGGGCCATTTATGATAAGTTGAGGGAAAGGAAAGAAATTCAAGAAGGCATTGAGGAGAAGAGGAAGGGGCTCTTTCCTTGAGGAACAGGAGGCTCATGATTCCCTAAGGAGGGAGGCAGCGTCCAGTGGGGGAAGAACATGGCTCTGCCTCCCTCACTACCTCTGGGTCCTGAGCAGCTCCCCTGGCCTGTCTGGCCCTCCAGGGAGGAGAACTTAAGCCGTGGAACTTTAGCTTTGCCTCTGGTGTCTCTTTAAAGTCTCAGTGGGGTGAGTCCCTGTCCCCACGCTGGATAAGAACTTCAGGCTGGCCTCAGAACATTCCTTCTCACTCCTAGTTGTAAACAGTCCTTTTATTCCCAAGTCCCACAGTTAGTTTCTTTCCTAAAATCAGAATGTCCTCCCTAACACACTGACCTGTACTTCAGACTTTTTTGAAGAGAGCCTCCTTCCTCTTCCTCCATGTGGTCCACTGGGAAGAGGAAAATCGATGCCATCTCCCCCAACATGTGCACACGGGGGCTGGAAGTGGGGAAAGGTAGGACTCATAAGGGTGGGAAGGAAGGTGCTTCCTTGAGTGTGCTCAGGCACCATGTGGGTCAGTAACTGGGCACGGAAGGAGCCACCAGCCCTGAGGCAGCTGCCGCTCTGGCCACCTTAGGAATCCCTTCCTGCTTTGCAGACTCTGGTGGTCCACCTTCCCGTGTGTCTGATGGGGATGATGCCCTCCTGATGACCCCAGGAGACCATATCTAAGATGGTCCACAAGGCAAGACCGTCTTCAGGAAACACACTCTGCCAGGACAAGCTTTGGGCATACAAATTCACATCCGTTTCTGTGTTAGTCAGCTTTCCTTGACTGCAACAGATATCTAAGTTAATCCATTTATAAAGAGAAAAGGATTCTTTTGGCTCCCAGTTTTGGAGTCCCTGACTGTTTGGCCCCATTGCTTTTGGGCCTGTGGTGAGGCAGCACATCAAGACAGGAGATTGTGTTGGAAAGCCCATTCACCTCAAGGCCAAGTGAAACAGAGGCAGACAGGAAAAGACTGGGGTCCTACAATCCTTTTGGAGGGACACCATCAGTGACCTACGACCTCTACTTGGCTCTCTCTCTCTCTCTCTCTCTCTCCCCCCCCCCCATGGATTAAACCCAAGGATGTTCTACCACCTAGATATACACCAGTGCTTTTTGATTTTTATTTTGAATCAGGTCTTGCTAAATTGCCGAGGCTGGCCTTGAACTTGTGATCCTCCTACCTCAGCCTCCCGCGTAGCTGGGATTACAGACTCCCCTAAACTCAGCTGGGTCCCACCTCTCAAAGGCTCCACCACCACCACCCAATAGCATCAAGCCAGGGACTAAGCCTTTAACACATGAGCACTGGGGAGATAGATATCCCAGACCCAAGCCATAGCAGCTTCCTCGCTGGTCTCTAACCTTCTGTACTCTCAGGAGTGATTGCACACAGTCCCCGTGCCTCCATCTCTCCAGCCTCAAACTCTCCACAGCCTCTCAAAGAAGCTGGACTTGGGGCTCACCTGGCATGCGTGCGGCCCGGGTTCGATCCTCAGCACCACATACAAACAAAGATGTTGTGTCTGCCGAAAACTAAAAAATAAATATTTTAAAAAATTTTCTCTCTCTCTCTCTCTCTCTCTCTCTCTCTCTCTCTCTCTTTAAAAAAAAAAAAAGAAGAAGCTGGACTAGAGGTGCAGGGACAGGTAAAACATCCCCAACTTTATGTGTGTGTTCATCAGAAGGCGAATAACAGCCTAATGTTTGTAAAACCCTCTAATACTTATTGATTCTTTTATATCCTCTTTGTGGACTAGGGATTTGTGGAGCTGGCAGGATGTGAGCGGTGAGACAAGTTCTAAAGCTTTGTCTGTAGAAATCTCCAGCTTCATGAGGTGACTCACTTGGGGATTTTGCAGCTTTGAAATCTCAGTGCCCCGCCATCATTTCCTCAGGCACAACCCTTCTTATCTATTGGGGTTTTTGGGAGATGCAGTAACATCACTGGTGCTTGCTGGGTGCCAAGCAGGGTGCCCACACTTAGTAAGGCTCAGATATGTGATTGACATTATTCCCCCCAAATCCCTGTCCCCTGAAGAGGATGTAGCACATCGGAAGCATTCGATAAATGTTAATGAATAATTGATAGATATACCTGAGTGTATTTCAAGGCAGATTAAAATAAGTGCCAAGTAGCTACAAGTTTTGTGTGGCGACAACCAAGGGCAGTGATAGGTAATTGTGCCATGTGCAACCTGAGGAAGCTTCGGCCAGGAAATGGCCTTTGGGATTTGAGTCACTGGGAATGGAGCAGGTGGGGTGTGCAGATGGACTTTCATTGATGGGTGGCGCTGGGTTATTAGTTGGACCAAACCATGTTCCTTTGTGGGCCAGCCTCTCTCGGGTAGAGCTCTTTCCATTGTAAGTGATAGAAGATTGACTTGAACCAACTTAAACAGTAAAGGGAAAGATTTCCTAAAAGTACAACGTAGAGGCACAGGTTCCAGCAGCAGGCCCAGCTGGACTCAGGCTTCTGGATGCCACCAGGACCCACTTTGCAGTTCTGGTTACTCTCAGTATTGATTTCATTCTCAGCCCAGTAGCCAGCCCGCCTCTGTGGGGGGACAAGGTGGTGGGCACTT